AAAACAGTTAACTCCAAAATCAAACACAAGCTTTTAGATATGATATTCACTACAGTTGCTTTCAAAGTCAAAAAAAAGAAATCAACTTCTGGATTTGAATAATTTTTAAGTTTTGCACATTGTAAATTTCTAAATTCAAAACTTTCAGTTCAAATCGGCGCCAAAACCAAGAATAAGTCCCTCCTTAGATTTTGTCACGCTTGACTTTTCTCACTGTAATAACAAACAGCGTTTGCAACCAAAATTTCTAGAGTTTGCAAAATAAAAGAGAAAGATTTTGAAGATAATTTCATATTTGATAAGCAAGACTATTCTATAAATAGCAACTTTATTACTAATTATTTTTTCCTCACAAATGGGCTAAAAATGTTAGCATTTTTATGGAAAATTTACTGACTGAAAAACGATTTTAGTCAAAAGACAAAAAGTTCATTATTTTCCATAAAAATTTGGTCGACCCTACGATTCATTTTAGTCGTAAATTTCTGCTACATTTGCAATATGCGTCATTGCATTAGTAAAAAACAAAACAAAAAAATCAGATTTTTTAATATTGATCTTAAGTTTAATTTTTTCATTCTGATCAGTGTTACTTCTACCCAACATTGATGCTTTTAATCAAGTATTAGACTTAACTCGTTGAAAGTTCTACGACATTAGTTATTATATATAATATATATACATATATAAAGAAAAAAGGCACTTGTTTGAATTTCAGAGGCATTTATAGAGCAGGAAATGATAAGTTATAGCCAAGGACAGAAATTCAAGCAAAATGTTCACAGCTTTTTAAGCTTAGGCTTGACTGCTTAGCTAAATCATCTAAAGTACCTTAGCGAGAGTATATGATGCCTAGCCTAGGATCTGGACATTACTGCTATTAAAAATGAAGCTTTTATAGTACTGCAGTAATTGGGTTTATTTGTTTTACTTTTATTTGGTATTATGTGAAATAAAAAGTGATTAGACTTAACAAGGAATTAAGCAGCGATCATCATTGATAGCAATTATTTTTCACAGTTACTTTTGAAAAATGTTCAGATCACATATATAAAGATGCTACTTACTTTAATACATAATATACAACATGATTGCATCACAATAAAGTTATCTAAAATTTGAATAAAATCTAATCAATCTGCGCAGCCAATATTAAAGAGATTAAAACAATGATTTTCTCAGATAATTGGACTATATATAATTGCTTTAAATTGAACTAGATTAGTAATTTTTGCTTGTACTAAACTGAATTAGCTAACTAATTTTCACTTCTACTTTCTCTTAAGTAGACACTGGATTTACATGTGTGGCTAAAATCATCCATAAAGTGAAATAACAAATACTTTTAAGAAAGTGAAAATTTTTTCGTACATTTTTAAATTTTCATTCTAGAAGTACTATTGAATTAAAAATTTTTTAAAAACTTTAAAAATATGATTATGATTTTGCTTGTTCACACACAAATATGAGCGTTTTTTCAAGAAATGCAATAATAAACTTAGAGTTTAAAGACTATTTTTACTTCAAATTAGTTGATTTTTTCATTTTTAAAATGTGAATCAATGAATATCACGAAAGCTTCAGGTAATGAGACCATTGCAAATAATTTTTTATACAAAATTATTAAAAACTGAAAATCAGAAGCACTCAGTGGTATAATTAAAAGCAGAAGAAGACATTCTTCCGTCGTCTTCCATCGTCTTCCTTCGTTGCTAAGTGAGTCTTTCAAGTCATTTGAAGCTAATTAATCGCAAAACCATACGTGCAATCGTCACTTACTACCCTTCTGCAAGTGTACTAACCAGTAGTCTACTTCTAAATTATCTGCTCCTATTATTTTTGCTCTTTTCACATTTTCAGCGGGTTAAATAATCAAAATTTATATTTCTTTTCAGTTTTAAAAAGTTTCGATCTAATACCATTTTTACACATTTTGATACATATACTAACCAAAGTTACCTTTAATTTTTACACTTATAAAATTATTAAATTAATACTTTCACTTCAATCATTTATTTGACCGTCTGTCTATTTGTGGTAACATATATAGTTATCCAATTCAATTTGGTATTAAATTATAATGAATTATTTATTCTACGGCTTCTGATTAACTAAAAAATTGGTTCGTTGCAAGTTTTTGGCTATGTTTTGTTTATTACATATATGAAGTAAGCAGTTTCTTTCTTCTACAAGTTACACGGATTCTACCATGCGTTAATGAATTGTGGAATATTTATTGTTTCTGTAAGTTCTGTCTAGCATTTAATATGTGTCATCTCAACTTGAATTCCATCTCGTTGACTTTCAATTTATCCACAAAATTAAGATGAATTTCACATTCTTTCGCAGTGAACTCACAAGCTATTTTTAAAACTTATTTTACAATACAATATTTGGTCATTTTATAATTGTTTGACTTTGCAATATACTTTATGCGTGAATACATTCATTCATTCATGAGAATTTTGAATTTCATATTTATGCATAAAATCTTCTTTTAATTTGCTAGCAAAATTAAATGAAAAACAAAAATTATTAATAATTTTGCACTTTGATTTATGATTCGCTTTAACCTTTAACAGTTTTTCTGACAAAGTCTTCTGACTTCCGTAAAAATTATTTTGAGCAGAATTAGTATAGATGCAAACTTTCAGCGCTCTATGAGGTAAATATAGACATTTTTAAAATTATTACACTTGTTTCGCTTTTTAACTGCACTGATCAATAGCACTTTGTGAGTGTGGAAAAGTTGTATGAAACTCGATGAAAAAAGGAATCAGTTCATCGATGAAAAAGGGATCAGTTCATCGATGAAAAAGGGATCAGTTCATTTCATTTTTTAAATGTGCAAAACTTGCTTAAAACTTGAACTGATCTGCATAAATTTCAATTCAAAAGCCATCCATCTTTCTTTATTCCCAGATAGTTGAAAAAGCAAGTTGCAGAGAAATAATTCTTAAGTTACGATAAAAAAGAGATATCCCTCATTGTTCCTTCTAAAAACTCGCTTTCTCAGCACTATTTCATTTTTTGTGGATTCAGTGATCTCTTGCATGAATTACTTTATCGTTCTGAAATTTTTCAAAGAAGCAAAAACAAATTTTGAAGTAAGAATTTTGTGTAAGCAATTTATAAACAAAAGAAAAACCTCTGCGAACGCTACCCTCACATTACTACTTACAGTACTAATCATTTAATTTCAATAAATGTAAGTTACAATTTTCGAAGAACTCAACTTTACAATTTTAGCCTTAATTTAAAGTTTATTTTGATTGATTGACGAATATTAGCCATTTCAATCACAAACTTTTATTCATAATCAGTTGTGATGCATGTTTTTGTTATATCTGTACTAAAAAAGAAGCTTGATGGCCACTTTTTGATAGATTTCAATTCTTTGTATAGGTAAAACGATGAATATTTGTATGCCACGCAATGAAGATAAATGGAGTGGGAAGACAAGTAAAAATAATCTAATCATTAATGAAGAATAAGGATAAACTAAACACAAATTGACCAGTGCTACAAGCATTGCTGACTTTCAAACTACAGTAAATGCATTCTTCAACAACACTAATAATTTTTTGAAATTTTAGATAACATAAAATTTCTGTGTTGGAATAATTATTTTCCATTGTTTTTGCTCCTTACTGATAACACACCTTATCAAATGTCACAGAGAAAGTCTATACATGCTGCACCCTTCTGAAGTGATATTAAGCATTATTTAACGGTGACGAGCATTAGCACATCGTCAGCAGTTGTGATGAAGAAGCAATTATTGCTGTATAAAAAGTTTTACACGGGAAATGTACTGAAAACTCTCTCAAAAACCCATCTCTCATTGATAATCTTTCCAAAATCACTCTTTTGTAAATCATAAAATATAAAAATACATCACAGCCAATTACTACTAAAAATATACGCTGCAAGAAAAGAGACATTAATTGCATACGACTTTACGTTTAACTTAGGTAGACTGTACTCGGCCGCAAGAGCAATATCTAACAGAGAAGAAAGTGAAAATATCACTGAAAGCAAGAATAATAAGTCGCATAGAAAGCGAACAATTAACGTAGTCGCCAATGAGATAAATGCACAAAGAATATGTAATTTTACAGACAAAAATTGCAATATACAATAACAAAAAGCAGTAATATTAAACAATAATGAGGTGCGAATGGAGCAGTACTGTCGTCACGCTCGTAGAATACCACTTCGTCCAATGATACAGATTTGAAAACCGGTTGAGAGATATTAACTGCAAAGCAATCACAGTGTGAAAACAAACTACAGTCTTTAGAACTGTATAATTTGTCACTTATTCAAACTTCTGCCATAAACTGCATTATATACAAATGTTAGTTAGTTTATTTCAAACGTTACTGAGGTCAAAGAGTAATAAAGTACGACTCATTTTGAATAATTACTTTTTAGTTTTTGCTTATTTTATTTATAATTCTGCCACATCTTAAAATGAACAAATTTGATTTGCGATAAAGTCTAAGCTTAAATTCCCACAAAAATTGTTTGAATCGTTGTATTTCTGATTTTTATTTGGTAAACAGAGTTGGTGAAAGATTTTTCATATATTTTATCCGTATAATTGTGCAAAATTTGGAAGAAATGAAAGAAAATAATGTGCTGTGATTTAAAATGAACAAACTAATGATAATTTTCCATACAGAAAGAATGGAATCAAATGTATCAAGCGGGATTTTTGTAAGTAATATTGAAAAGAAGTGAAATGCTGATTGGAAACATTACTGCGAATTTATTTAATAAAACAAACATCTGTTAGAATTTTATGAGAAATTTCATGATAAGGCGATAAATATTTGGATTCAAAAAAAGAGGAATCCACAACATTCAGAGCACGGGAAAAAATGATGCATGCAAAAGAATAATCCTTAATATCTTCCTACATTAATGTCAAACCCTTATAATAAGTAAACAATTAATCTATTTTCTTTTCACTTGACAGTATTCCTCTAACTGTACTAAAAAATTGACGTACCGTTACCAAAAACAGATTTGCCATCATCGTCTTTTGTGATTAGAATCGCCTGTTCTGATTCACTCAAAATATCAGTGCTATTCTCAAGCATACAAATGCCAGTATAATTACAAATGGATCTATGAAACTCAGTGATATGTGTTGCAAGAATATATTTCTTCTGCAATGCAAATTAAATGCACTATATTGAAGATAAGAACTAAAGGTGCAATCTGTGAACAGAATAATATTTTAATCATGTAATGAAGCAATAACCATACAAAACTGTGGTTTGAAATTTTCAAATTTTCAAAATTAGGAAAAAAGTAAAGAGGAAACAATGGAAAATTGCTTCAGTTGGACATCAAAAATACTGATTCTTTATGCTACAAATTTGTTTCTTTCAAAAATTATGAATCCAAACAAAATCGAAATGCTAAATAAAACTATTCATTCAGAATTAGAAATAATACGCAAAATGTAATTATAATAGTGAGCTTGATTTCTGTACCAATTACAGTGAAGTATGAAATGAACAAATAAAAAACATGGAAAGTAGAAAATTTGCTTTGAGATCGGCAGAAAGCTTCCTAGCAATATTTGCGTAGAAACTAAACATAGACTTGAACTAACGTAAGCTGGTCCAACATTTTCACGGGCTGAGAGAACACCTACTAAAAAGTGCTTCTTACCGAAAGTTACCATTACTGGTGAACCATTGTCACCCTAAACACATCCACTTATTTTTATTAAGGGAAATACTTTCTTTAACAAACTTCAATTAATGTAAAAAGAATCGTCTGGCCAAAATTTTGAATACAAATCTGATTTTATAAAATGTAAATTCAAACAGTTCTATAAAAAATGGAACTGCTTCTTTTGCCTAATAATATGACTGAGCCCTGATTAGTAATGAATACATTACAATTTGAAGGATTTTTTTTGCATAAACTGAAATCGAAGACTGTTTCTCAAAAAGCCAGAATCTCTCTAACTGCTAGATGAGAATTACGGGAAAAGAAAAAGTTCTAACCTCAGCTGCAGGCAAGTCTGGTTCAATAATTATAATATTTTTACAGGCTTCTACATGAATACTACTTGGACATTTGTTAATGTGAACATTGTATTCGTGTTCAATATTCAATCTCACATTAATCGGATTCTCTCCGTCGTTATACTTTATACTTTCTAGAATTTCTTCTTAAAGTCTCCACATATTATAATCAAAAATTTATTTCAAAAATAATATAATCTCACTACCTAGTGATACTATCTGAAATCATTGAGACTGAGGAATGGAATTTGCAATAAATTCGAATTACACGCAAATTATTGTTTTTTTGAACAAATACTGCAAAAGAATATGGTAATGTCTTGTGTGAAATACAAATAATAAAAGGAAATGAATCGGATGTTCGCGAAAAAAATTCAAACTTCTGCGGCCGAATGAAGCAATGGTATAAACAGGTGTTGCACGTTCAGGCATCAATGGCGAAGCGATGCAAATTGGACTAATTAAATCATAATCATGATTTTTTGGTATATTACTCAAACTCTCTACTTCAAATATAGCAATATCCGAATATGGCCCGTAGAAAGGAATTCCATGCAACTAAAAAAGGTATTAGTGAAAGTTGTTCAAGTTTAACACAACTTTGTTACAATATATTGATAATTGAAGTAGTTTCAAATAGTGGTCATTTCTCCAAAAATAAATCAGTGCATTTTCTATGCCAAGCAAAAACACTTCATCATTTATATTCATAAATGCCTGGCATATTGCATGCAAAATGTAGAGCAGTTATCGAAAAATTGAGATGCACAACATTTATGACAAAAATAAGTCGACAGAAGTACAGTATGAGAAGATTCATTACTTTGTTAAAATAGAACTAAGATAAAGAATTATTATGAACTATAAATAAAAATGCTTGGAAGTGCTATGTCATCTTGACGTTACAATTTCTTCATTTCAAAAAAATAAACCGCAGTTAATAGAATATTTTAATGTAAAAAATTGGTACGCTTGATTGAACTTTCTAGTGTTTCTGATTCAAAACTAACTCACAAACTGTTTTTTACAAAAAATAAATCTTCTCATGATATAGCGCCTATAAGAGATTCAAATTTTATTCCGTCGATACTTCACTTCAAGCAAAAAAAATTTTTAAATTATGTAGTGAAACTGCCCAAAATATGACCAAAAAAGCAAGTAATACATTATGAATGTCATTTTGAAGGCAGAAAGATATTTGCTCAAAAATTATTATTCTAATCTCAAAAGTTCAAAATAAGTGTGCAGCAAAATAAAACTCGCCAAAGCAACGTTACTGATGACTGATGCCATTGGTATAAGCAACGAAATGGGCTTGATTGAGAGTACTTGATCCGAATATGACTTCACATCAGGACATTCCTAAGTGAAATTACTGTATTCCTCTTCATAGTACTATTTTTTAACAAAAAATAAGTCTTATCATAATATAACGACTGCTTTTACTGCAAGTTAATCGCAAAGTAACAGGCACACTTGGTGATTAATAAAATTGCAACCGTTTAAAATATTACTTTCCTGACGATATTATCATACAGGGCTTGTTTTTTATTCATATATAAGCAAAATGATCCACCATAAATCTTGAATTCACTTAATGGCGTATTTACAATACCGCTGTAAGTATTGATGTAAAAAACTCAAGTTCATGAGTGGAAATTCAAGATGAAAAAAGTTTGAAATGAAGCAAACTCTTCGAAATAAATTCGTAAAAGGTAACTGTGAAAAAAGAAGATTTTTGAGACAAACAATTAAAGTAGTATCAGAATTGAACGTTTTCTAAATTCACTTACATATAATTTATCAGCTGATCACTTTCTTGAAATCACAACGGCTAAGCAGGGTAGTCTTATCTATTGTGTATTGTGTATGATTATATACAGAAAGATTACACAAAGTCTATAGTTCTTCAAAAGTTAAATAAAAATAATGTATATTTATATATTCACGTAGCCCTACATTGTTATATATAGATATATAAATGAAGGACATACTTGTATTCATAATCGAAGCAGCTAGCAGCTGTAATAATATGAATATCGCTAATGACAGCACCCGAACAAATACTTACAATATCTGCAAAAATTGAATATATTAAACAAAAAAATCAATGCTTATAAAATAGAAACATTGATTGCCTTGCAAACAAAAATAATTTGTCGAAATTACTGGATACAGTCAACTGTTCAACAATATATAATCCCTGTGTCAAATGCATCATTCTTTCGAATTTTAAGTTCTAATTTTGTAAAATTATTCAGTTAGCATGACCTAACTTTCCATCCCCTTTTTGCTTTACATGGATAATCTGAACCATAAAGTTAAACAGATCATAATTTTCTTCTAATCCTCCTGATAACAATTTGAAGACAGATCCGGCATGACTGTTCAAATTGCTACATTCTTCTTTTAGCAATTGATTCTGTGCCGGACTTATTTTAAGAAATTCACGCTGTGAATCAGTACTTGAACACAAAGCTACAATAATTTACTCATTAAAATAAAACATACTGTGAAGTAAGTTTGCAATAAAAGCTGAGATGCTAATAAAGTAAGCAACTGGTCTCACTTTTGTTTCGATTGCACAGCAGTATGAGTGTTAATAACTTTTACATTACAATTACTAGCAGCAATTTGTTCATATTTCTGGTACTAATTCTTGTATATTTGATTGCAATTTCTTCTCTCAACTGCTAGTGAAAAATCCATTCATATGTCATTAGCAGTAGCCAAAAATGATTCAGATTTTGATTCATTTTTTGTCTTTCAATTAACTCACAGAAGAGTAAAATAATATTTGGTGATTAACCTTGACCAACGCAAATGAAACAAATCGCAGCTATCCAACGAGAAGACATATCTGAAAATGAACTTCTGCACCAAAAAGCTACTTCCATAAATTTGAAATTGAAATCAATTGCTGTTTGATTGATAGATTAACTTTGTTCCATTCAAAATTTAGCTGCATCGACTAATAACTACAGTCGAGACAGTCAATTATTCAAAAAAATTTGTCACGCATAATCGAATTATTAAGTGTTGCATCCCACAACTTTTAATAATAACTGACCAATTGCATACTTCAAAGTAAACAGTCCAAAGTCAGTATTGCATTTAAACGAAACTTTACAATTTTATCAAATCAGCGCGATTTTGTTGTAAACTTGTTATAAACTAGAATTCAGTTTCTCAAGTAGAAGCACAAACAGTCAATTAAAGCTTCATAAATTTTAAAACAACCGATACTTTACTTTCACATCATTTTCACCGCGTAATTATACTGCAACGCTCACGCAGAATGAAGCGAAATACTTTCAACAATTTTTTGCAGCGAAATTCGTACTGAACACAAACAGTGCTATTTTATTCAATACAAATAACTGATGAAAATTTGCGCTCAACAAATAGAATATTATTATTGCAATGTGTAGTAGCAAAGCGAATGTCAACTTTGTGAAAAGGCAAAGAAAGGGTCAATTAACTAGTGTCATTCAGAATTTATACTCCTTTTTAAAAATAATTTCTCAACAATATAATTGCTTTCTGAGATGATGATAAGATTGGCATGCAAATACGTTGCTAATTATTTGACATTATTCTTTTGCGAAAAAAAAATGAAAAATTGCGAGCAGTTCTGTGACCTCTTCTTCTCACTGCAAGTTGCGTGATAATGAATGCGAAAGTTACGTGATAATAAATGCGGAAGTAATTATCTCTATTACTGATAAAATAGTAGTGATAATGGATGCAAAAACTGTGAAGTTCTTTTTCTCGTAAAATTTACTTCCGAAAATGGCAGACTTGCTTTAAATCTCTCACAATCATAAGACTATTTCAGTTACTAAAATTTAAAATTTATGAATTTAGCAATAAATTTAAAACTGAAAGTAAAGGGAGAAACAGAAAGATATGCGCGGGATGAAGTGCTTACGCTAAGCTTCGAGAGTCCCTCGTCTGCTGAAACACAACGCCATAAGTCACATCGCAACCCTTTCAAGTGCACAAGGAATTAATTCTCTTGCCTAACAATGCAACGATTCATTTTCAAATTGCTCACATATATTTGCCCAGTAAAAAGTTTGACCAAATGATCGGCCAACTGGCCGACTAAGCAACTGGCTGATTGACTGACCGATGAACTGTCTATCAAGTATTTCTACTCGTTCGCTTTATCATTTGTAGCATTTATTACCAGCCCTCCTTGCACATTTCTTGAATTAATTGACAGTACAGTTCTATGCATAAAGCTTCCTGTCGACTACTCAGCGTAAAACTTTTCTTATCACTTGCCACTTCACAATAAGCAATATGACTGAATCAGAAATTCGAAACGAACGAACTGCGGTTTGTGATTGATTTGAATACGATTTTTAGCTACATAATTAATTATTAACGGATGTAATTATTAGGTAATCCATGTTTTCTGCTGTGTGAATAAAAATATAAAGAGGAATAGTTAGCACATTACGTATAACAATGACAAAAACACCTCTTGACCTTTGCACTACTGCTATTTTTGAATATGTGTAAATCCTTTGCCTTTTATAACAATTTACATACCAAAAAAATTGTGCATGTAAAATGTTCGCTGTTGAAATGTAAGCGAAAAAGTACTTGATAAATTTGTCTGTTTTTACGGTAGTAAACAATTCAGAAACTACTATTCATAGATCTTACCTAACACTGAAAACTATTGAAATCAGATAATAATATAAAAGTATCACTTCCAATACACGCAAGTTTGCTTCAGCCAATATTCCAATCCACTTAATTCATAAAAGTCCAGTTCCTCTTATTTTCTTACATTAGATAGAAATTATCACTACTGAATTGTTTTTCGAAAATCCATTACTAGTAATTATGGAATTAAGAGCTTAAAATAGTTTTAAGTTTTCGATTAAAAATAACTATTTTAATAGAATAGTCAAATATTAGAACTTGTACTGTGAAGAGAATTTCGGTCGACTTGAATCACTTTCACAATTGATTTACCAAAATTTTAAGTTAAATGAAGTAGGGACTAAATTAAGAGAAAAATGTCCATCACTCAACTCAAATTAAAGCCAGCATTTATTTTCAACCTGTCTTCCCTATCACACAAAAATTTTGAAGCTATGATGCTTACTAATTAGTGATCATATTCCAATGAACGAAGGAGATTACATAGCTAGAACACTTTTGTCCACTCTTTCTTGCTCAACTTTTTTATTCTTAAATCCACCCCGGGATGGTGAATTCCTGAGGTCGTATTCTTCGTAAACACAAATACAGAAATTGCACTCATGTCATAATACTCAGACTACTTGCTCATAAGTTCTTTACTTTCACTATCCTAAAAGCTACATACATGATTGTATACTACATTCCCAAAAGAGCCTGCATTTTTTAGAAGGGAAAAATAAAAAAACTGACTCACCACAATGATAATCTTTTCTTCGCGAAACCAAAGAAAGTAGAATTTTAGTTTAATTACGAATAAGGAGGTTATTTTATTTTGGAATCTTAAGTGAAATGTGAAACAACCAATATGTCGCACGTGTTTCACAGCAAATAAAGCTACCAAAATGCATTAAAATTGAAACACGAAGAATTTATATTGGGAGTTAGCTTATAATTTGCACGAAATATGATTAGAGACTAAAAAAATAAAGGCACAATTGGAACTTTTTATTAACAAAGTGTATTTGGATAAAAAACTTTGTTACAAAAATACTAATACAAATATAACCATCTGACCAAAATAATTAATCTCACCTTTTTAAAAGATCACAGGCTGATCACATATCTAACGTTTTTTTCACTAAAATCTCTGACTATTTAATCTGTTTTTGCACGATCAATCCATGAGTAGTAATGCTATGCTCATTGCCAGCAATAAATATGTAGTTTATAACAAAAATAATAATTATAAAATGCATTTCATGTGCCAGATTCATTTTCTTCAATTTTTTTAAATTCTTCATATGCTGCTTCGTCCATCAAATCTTTTAACTCGTGTGCATTTTTTACTTTCAGTTTAAATAACCAACCTATAAACATAAATTAAGAATTACTACTGAAAGAATTTTACGAACAAATTGCAAATTTTTGAATACTTTTCAACCAGAAAATGACAAATTTCTTCATCTAATAATTTTTATCATTTAAACGCACTGCTTTTAGTTATTTTTATTACGCAGTGCTTTTACCTGCAAACTACTTTAAATAATAGCACGAATGAATACAATTTAAAAAAATGAAACCTTTATCAAAAGGTGACTTATTAATTAAAGATGGATTTTTTTCCAGCTCTACATTTTTCTCCTTTACTGTTCCAGATATTGGTGAATAAACATCCGATGCTGCCTTTACACTTTCTATTGCAGCACCAGTGTCACCTATATGCAAGTATTTTCCGGCTTCAGGTAATTCTGCATATACAATATCACCAAGTGCATCCTGCAGTAATTATTTCCAATAATTGACATGAAATACTATTAACTTAGTCTTGCATAATATAAGTATTGCTCGTCCATTATGATAACTAATTACTAAATAATCTTGCGTTACACTTAGAGTAGAAGTAATAAAATATCATCTTGTCTTTATAATCAGTAAACTGAATTTCAATGAAAAATTAACGAGATATTATAAAAGTACTTGAGGATTACAATTGTCATTACCCAGATTATTAGTAAATATGTGAATAATAAAAATAAGCAATACACTCGTTAAACTGACCTAGCTAAAACAAAAATTTATCGAAATGTTATAAAAAATTGCATGAGTTTTATGGCTGCACAAATCAAACCTGAGCAAAATCACTGATTCCCACTGTTCCTGTATCTCCCTCAACCACAACCCATTCATGTTTTTTTGTATAATAACGATCTACAAAAATCATTCTTAAAACTGTATTTCCGACCAAACATTATTTTATTTGTGCTCCAAACCTTCCAAAAGATACCTGAATGCATTTAATAGTATCAAATATGTTCTTATAAGGCAATACTAAACCCATTTGAAAGCTTAATTTCGGTACAACAATGAAGATGAGATAATTTACAATATATCTTCTATATTGCACTGAATAAAAACATCTTGAAGTAGTTTTAATTTTTCGATTAAAAACAGCTATTTTAATAGAATATTCAAATATTAGATATATTAACATAGAAGAAAAGATCTGAAGATAAAGCTTTGCTTATTGGGTTTGATGAATAAAGTGATTGAAACGAAGAAAGCATTTTATTACATACCAGCAAATAAATTCTGAGAAGTAGTCACATTACGATAAATATGACTCATTACAGATTCTGATGCAACAACGCACGGCGAGAGTCTTTGAAATGCCTGTAACCACTGAGCCATACCTGTAACGAATATATTCATCACAAATCAAAACTTTTTTGGACTGATTATTCCAAGCGTAAATGATGTATGTAATAATAACTAAATGGTACTTATTTCTGAACAAATTTGCAATGAGTCAACTTGCGATAATTAATAATTAATTTATTATACTTTACGACAAATCAAATATAATTAATTAATAAAAATCATTTTGAAATTATTAAATATTTTATTTATTACGATGTGTTTCAAGCGCAGTATAGTTCAGAAATTAATATTTCTGCAAATGAATGATCTACAAAACAAATGAAGGACACGAAAGTGAACACGTGAAACGAACTAAAGACTGGAGTAATCGCTGTCAGAAAACAATCAAAAAGTGCTATCAAAGATAAGAACAAATGACTGATATTTTCCTTTCCTTTCTTTTCTTTCACTTTATCATTACTTTCTGAACTAACCAGATTACTTAACTTTTGAATAAATGAAAAAAGTTTAAAAAGTCGATAACATAAGAGTTATTACATAAACGAATGGATGAGAAGCTAAATTGAAATTTATCTGGATTAAGTCTGAGTTTAAAAATATATTTCACCTCCACTTTTGCATTATTCATAACCACAGTTAATTAATTTTTATAAGTAATGCCGAAGCCAAATGTTCTTATTTCCCTCGCTAGATTTTCTTCCCTATTTTTCCTTTGCTTTACTGATTTTTTGATGATTTTTTTATTCTTATATAAAATAAAAGCAGTTAGTACACTACCAAAAATACAATTCCGCTTCTCAACTTCAGTAATCGAAGTTAAACTTTAATAATCAAATTTTTTAATAACTAATGTGAAGTAAGAAAAAAGACTTTCCAGTTTTATTATCAATCAGAAACTTGTGAATGCATCGCTGCTAGTCAGAACATATTGTGCTTATAAGTACACGAGTGATTATCACTATTTTTATGACAATGTACTGTCACTACCGACAGGTAGTCATAGCAATTATTTAAGACTAAAGATTACGATCCTTACAAATATTTTACTCAATCTATACCGTACTTTCATTACAAGCTGACCAATTTTGCATTGTCCATTTGAAGTGATGGACGTTATAAAATAACACAAATGTGAGGAGCCAATTTAAAAATAGACAAGTAGGTAGTTAAGCAAGAACAGATTTGCAAACTGTCCCTAACCAATGGTTGATTGAAATAAACAGTAAAAAACTTCCCATATCAGTGATAATAGTCAGACAGTCCACTAAATATTTATCAGTTTCGTTTTCCAACTCTGTTGATGAAGACATGCATAGAATCAAGCATCTGATCAGGTGAATTTGTAGTTTAAAAACACAACAACAATACAGCTAAAATAAACAGCTCGTAGCTAGTTCACTACAAGGTGGCTGAATTGAAAGCTATGTACATTTTTAATGAACTGCCATTTTCAAACAGTCTTGTTTTTGTTGTGATTGTGATGTTTAACTGGCGTATCATGGTTTTAATGAATACTGATTTATAGGAAGTAAAGTGAAATATTAATTTCGATTCAACTTTGTGGCGTGCTGAAAAAATTAATCCTTCGTAAATAGTATGTTATTGCGTTTTAGCTTTCAAAAAAGCTAATTGCTTCCAAAATTTGTCTGTGGAAGAGTGTTTGTCATTGGCGAACGGCAAACAACAAATGGATAGTCAAATAGGTATTTCCATTCTTCTAAATATTCCAAAACATTTTTACTTTTTTAAAGTGTGAATTTAATAACTAAACAAATATTGTTACTTTTTCAGTGTGTAGCATTTTTGGAGCCTGTGTCATAATTGAATTCCAACACTTTGCAGTATTGAAATTTGCTTATGGCATTTGCCCCAGAAATGAGATAATTTACGTGTGAAATACTATTGCAATCTGTTTCAGTGAAGGAAAGAAAATCAGAAGAAAGTTTTCAAATTTGTCATAGAAATGATTCAAACAGATTTAATACATATTTTTGTCAATTAAATTTTGCGCTGCTAAATCAAATAAAACGCAAGAATCTTTGTAAAATCTTTTCGTCAAATTCTGTTCTGTCTATAAAAGACAAAAATTATTTTTGATTTAGCTGATGTTTCAAAAATAAGTTTTTTATGGAAACTGTAGATACCTGATTTTAGAAATATGGCTTATTGGCAGTTTTCTTGGTTTATTACATTCGTTTCTGGTGAGGTACATATACAGAATTGTACCAGAACCATACATGGATGAAATTTTTCATGTATATCAGACGCGAAATTTTTGTGCGTTTAATTTTACGTCAGTTTTTACTCCTGTTTTAACTGCAATAAAAATTGCTATAATCATTTATAAATAGCTAATCTACTTTAGTTTTATTAGATATGCTTTTGATAGCAATAAAGATTGGAGATTTAGTTTCTATCGTTTTCTCTGTTAATATGTATAGTGAATTGTTAAAAGGCCCGCAAGTATAACGAAACAATTTTAAAAAAAAGCGAGAAGTATATTTTTTAGTTGTGGTGATAGTTTTTAGCAGCTTATGAAAGACCAAAAACGCAGTTACATTTTCTGTCTTAGATTAATATTGCTTGAAAATGTCAACTTTTACAAATAAAACGACATATTCTTTTGTGAATTGGTTTGTTGTACATTTTCTCTGAGATGAAAAGCTAAGTGGTCATATAAAATTAGTATTTTTATTTTTCAGATCTTCTTCTTTTAATTTAGTCTGGCATTGATTTTAGTGGTTGTAATTTCAGATGGGATCCAAAAATTACAACACCACCAGCGTTATACATTCTTTCCGTGCCAATTTTTTGTGAACATGAAAGATACACGAATTCAGCTTTGATTCCTTTCTCATTTGTAGGTTGTATGCAATTTCAGAAACTTTTTTCAAGGCATAAATTCGGCACGCGTTTGCAAATTTTTAAATGCACAGTAACGTCAATAACTGTGTTGTTACTTCCTGTACTTTTTCATTCTTCACTTTTGTATTACACAGATTTGTTATCATTAACAACGCTTGTGTGGGCTGCTTCTCTTCCACCAGGTATATTGTCTTCATTGATTTTTTTGGTTTCGGTATGTACTCGACAGACAAATATCATTTGGGCAGCTGTTTATGGTTCATTCCATTTATTCGCATTATTAGAAAAACAATGTAAACATGGCTTGTCTTTTTCAGTTTTTATTAATTGTTTATTGAAGTTTTGGTCGTTATTACTGCTGCCCATTGGTTTCGTGATTTTTTTTGTTTTCAATAATAACAGCATAGTATTAGGTGACAGATCTGCCCACCAACCTGTTCCCCATTTTATGCAGTTTTTCTATTTTTTGGTTTTTCATTGCTTCAGTTCAGCACCTCTATTGTTATGTCGCTCTAAAACATATCACTGTATCAAGGAAAATATTCTTCATCCAGTGAAATCATTAATTCTGTTATTACTTATCTCATGCTGTGTTTATTTCTTCACATTTCAGCATCAATACTTGCTAGCTGACAATCGTCATTTCACATTTTACATTTGGAGACGATGGTTTTTACGCCATCCATGTTGTAAATATATTGCAGTAATTTTTTACATTCTTGCATTGAAGTTATTTATCCAAATAATAGATCATATTCCAAAACTCCTTGCAGTTCTTTATATTTTGGGTACAGCAGCAGTATTGGTACCGGTTAATTTGCTAGAACCTAGATATTTTATTGTACCATATATTTTCTGGCGTCTTAGCTATCCAGAACGACGAATCTCAGTAATTATTTTTGAATTAATTTACGCAGTTCTTATTAATACTCTCGTTTTGTATATGTTTTTGTTCAGGCCATTTGAATGGTCTCACCTACCAAATGTTAAACAGAGATTTATGTGGTAAAAATTGATTTTGTGTTTGTTAATTGCTTAGTGATTAAAATTAGAAGACTTCGTGTACGCTTGAGAGCAAGATCAGATACATTTTGGCTAGAACAAGAACAAAAACTTCTTCACAACATAAAATATTTAATAGCAATGAGAAGAATTAAGCAACGTACCCGTTTATTATATATAATAATCAGCTCTTGCATACTTTAAGCAATAAAGATTTATCATCGTTGTTTGTTGCTTCTTTAGCAATAATCATCTTATTAAAATACAAAATTCTATTGCAGTTTGAAAGGTAAAAAGCAGGTTTCGATATATTCACAATCTGGAGATTTTGTTCGGTAAGATTTCCCGCCGTTCATAAATACAGCAGGCTTTCTGATTCCAGCCGTAGTTGATAACATGTAGAAAGTAGTCATAAGCAGTAATTCTTTAATGTGCAAACTTGTTATAAAAAAATTTGGGGCCAAACAACAAAAAACAATAAATAATATGATGAGACATTGAAGTGAGCAGTAGTGACTATAATAAATAAATTATTTAAAATAAAACTGAGAGTAAAGAAAGGACAGCAAATTAAGTCATGCTGAACTATTCACTGACTTGGAATAAATAAAATCTAATGAGAACTTTCATTTCGCACATGACTTTTAGCTGCCCAGAATTGGAATATGCAAATGTCTGCTGTATTTTGGTGTAATGTTACTCATTTTGTAACTAGAGTTAGAAGTAGCACTTGATGAAATTAGGATAACTAAATGCTTTAATAAGTGTGTATTCAGACTCTAATGAACTTTGTCTCCGAAAAAATTTTAAAATAAATCGAGGAATCTAAACGAAATTTTAATAAAAACCTAGGATTGAGCAAATGTCATGAATATACAAGTAACTGATCAACAAGGGAATCAATCGATGCTAAACTTGCTGCTTTAGAACTGCTACACATAATATACTGCTTTTCGGGAAGTGTTTCCGAGCAACTCATTGAATGGTAGATATGAACAAGTCCTGGATCAGGTGCACGCATTATGCGCAGCGGTGAACGCACACATTTCTCGAATAAATCTACATCTTCCATGCCCCATCCCTGAAAATTACAGTTAAATTCATTCACATAAATGGAAAACAAAACAAAAGATCTTCCTTCTCAAGAAATTATGCACAATCAGTTCAGAAGTCTTCCTTTCTGCTGCCGTTTGCTGGCCATCCTTTTTAAAAATGTGCAAAAACTGAAGCTTGGAGAATGAATCAAAAATTAAGGATACTAGCCTCTACTCTAAAACTGGTTTCTCTTGAAAATATAATTTGCCTGTTTTTAAAAACGGTATTCGCGCAGATCAGACTCGATTAAATTATTGTCAAATAAAGAAATAAATAAATGCAATATATTTTGTTTACTAGACTGAATGGATTTCACTAGATCAAAATCAATTGATATTTTTGGCGAAGTCTGCTCAGTCTACCTTAGATTGTTGCTATTTGGTTTTTAAGTTTTGTCTGGCTGATTATGTACATTAATAATTTATTGAAATTCTGCTGGCAAAAGAAAAAATGAAAAAAGCAACAATTTCAAATTTTTCGCATCAAAAAGTTTACTCGTCAATGATTTATGCTTTTAGATTAGATCTTTGGAATAATGGTGCTAGCATGTCAAGGTAGCAAGTAGCCTCTTTGCTGATCGGAAAAATATGAATGGACATAACTGATTAGCGAAGCTCAACAATTTATGACTGAATGATTCTAACTCGATTACCTCTATGTTCAACTTCATTCCTCCTATGAGATCAAAATCAGATTTATATATTGACACTAATCCAAATCCAAAATGTCGGAAATAACCCTTTTTTCGACCGTAATGAAATGCATCAGAAAATAAACGATCACTATCTGACCATGTTTCTGGTGAGTACTCACTAAATACTATCGGAAAATAAACCTGCAAGTTTGTATTCTATTGGTTCTGAAATTTAATTTAATAACTTTCCAATTTCATAAATTTCTAAGATTTTGTAGAATTTCCTAATAAATTTAGGGAACATAACTGTGAATTTCAAGCATTGGGTTTGCAAATTACATTCAACTGCAGTTCGAAAAGCCAAAATGGAACTGATTGATACAAAATTTATTTGAATGAAATTCTGTCATGAATATCTTGACTTAATTAGTTGTAATTAGTTGTGATCTGATCAAACTTAATGATGACAATTAAGTGAATTATACTTGAGCACCGCGAATAGTATTATGTATAACTCGATCGATAGTATCGCAAGTGAAAAGTATATCGACATCAATAAAAAACATTAGTGAATCTGGTTCAAGAATCTCCGCACCACGTGAGAGCGCTATGCCACGACTAAATGGCTTTAAACCCATATTAATTACCTAAAATTACTTAAATTTAAAAAAAACTATCGCAACACGGTAATTATCTGATATCACTATAGCTACTTTATGTGAAAAATGATCATAACATTTTTTCAATTATGTAATGGAAGATGCTAATTCGATACATGACTAATCTAATAATTGCCGCTTTTAACTTGGCGCATATTAACTCAATTATTTAAATTTCTCGCTTTTTCATACTTGAATTTGATTTATACTACCACTTACTTTGATACTAATTTTCTTATTCTCTATTCTTACAACTGTTTAAATAATCATAGTTGCGCAATTTCAAAAAAGAATAGTTTAAATGCTATGTAAAGATAAAAAAGTTAGATTTTCAAAACAAATAATTACCATAATTATTGCATCAATTTCTGAAGGATCAATTCATGCCCTTAGTGATTATTAGCTAACTTTAAACAGGCTTCAGATCTTTCTACTGATGCGACATTTTAAAATACTTTGTTCACTTGACAACATCCATAACCAATGATAATTATCAATCAAATCAACTAACTTTGACGTCAATTTTCAATTTCAGTTCCTCTATTACAGCTGCTATTGCTCTATCAGCTTCAGGTACTGAATCATAAACTACCAAAATAAGCGAAAATATCCGCTTGTTATAGCATACGGTCCGTAAGTTGCTTACAAACCTTTAAAAATTGACGAAAAATTTGCTTTCCTGCTTAAATCCAGTTGACACATGGAAAATGATGAATATTATTTTTTTAAATCTTTCTCTTGAAAATTTTGATTAATCACCAAAGAAATAATGTGAACAACACTTTTGAACATTGAGACCCAATAATTTTTATTTTTTTAAATGAGATCAAAATGAAGTAAGAATAAAATGTTATAATTTTCATAGTTATTTCTTTTGAAGATTATTTTAAAAAACTTTACGTAAATGAGAAGTTAAAATTTAAAGAAACTCAATTTCTTGCTATTCTGAATCTGGAATGTTGAAAAACAAACTTTTTAAAAGCGTCGATCCTTCCAGCGAGCGGTAAAATCAAATATACGTGAAACTTTTCTTCTGGCAAATTTATCGGTTTCCAGTCGAAGTCTTTCAAAGTGCTATTTTTTTCCTTCAATAAGCGGATACTTTTTGCGATTCGCTGTCGTAAAGTGTCGCGCAATAAATGATCAGATATGGCTTGTATTGGTCCGAATTTTTGCTGTATGTATGCATGGCGACGAACGGAAAGCGTTGCTCTAAAATGTAAACTTATTTTGATAATTAAAGCAAGTTTTGAAGAAGGTTGATCTAGAAATTACTGATTCAAGAGGTTGGTAATTTATTCCACTTGAGAAATGTTTTAGAAAGTATACATACCTATTTGGTGGACGAATCCTTTTGAACCACAAAGCAATATCAAGAACATAATCGACTCCATGACGCGGTTCAACTCTCATATAACCATACTGAATGTTTTGGAAACGTAGTAAACGTCCCCGCTCCCGAGCATTTGCATTAAATTCATCAAACAGCTACAAAATTCACTCATCACTATAGAAGAATGAAGTCTTTAAACTGTGATATATATATGTAACACTTTTCTCATCACGTATATTATTTTCGGTCCAAAATATGCGTGATGATTATTTTATTGTTATTATCATTATTATTAGTATTGCTACTGCTATTATTATTATTAATAATTACTACTACTACTGTTATTTCCATATTCTTTTTGGCCCAAAATATGGTAATGTAGAGTTGAATCACTATTAATTACTTATTATCATTTATTGATATTATAGCTATGACGGCAACAATAAACATTGTAATTATCATGCATATTATTAATAATAATAACTTTAATAGTAATAATTTTAATAATAATAATACAACTAAGTGATAGTAATGATAACGATAACCTGAGTGATAATTTCACTGAGTGCAGTTCGTATGCTTAAGTCAAGAGTGTGTCTTGGACAGTTTACTTTTGCAGCACAAAATAAAATATTATTTGCTGAAATGAAATCCCAATGGAATAAATCTTGAGTTGCATTCGCAATGTGACGCACGAGAGATGGTGGTTCGTTGTTTGAGAGTTCATCTAACAAAGAGTCACGTGTTGCACGCAAATTGGCAAGTTGGAAAATACGGTTTTGTACGTGAATCCGACGCATTAGTGATGTTTGCTTTACTGGATGCAATGTGATTGCATGACGTAGCTCCGTCAAACTGCCCTGATAAGCATTTGGCACTGTTTGGTTATTATGGAATAGTGTTTGCATTTCATAATTCCACGAGCATGTAACGCCAACATGTCTTGCAATGCATCTAAATATGCGTGAATTTCGCAATGTGCGTGAGCATAAAACATGCTTTTCAATCTATCTGCTTTTTATTCGAAATAATTCAAACTAAAAATACTTACAATTTATAAAATTAGTCGGAATTTGCAGAAAAAAATCTGTAATCTGTTAATCTACTTTCAATGTTTGAAAAAAAAGTGCCTAACTTATACTGCTCATGCGATGGCATGTTTCATGTTCTGCATACAAAACAAAATACTTAAAATTACCTTCCAAGTTCCACATCCTCGTGCATAGTAAACATTTCCATCAAACATGAGCGTAAGTGAGGTGCGACTGCACGTAATGTTTCGCGTGACATTACGACACCGGGTCCACCCATGCAGTAGTTTTCCTTTTGACCTAAAGCCAGTAGACCGTATTCAGCTGTATTACCCAAACCAGCTTGACCAATAAGATGCGCCTTATTGAAATCCAAAGACCTGATAAAATGTAACTTGAAATTAGCAACACGTTTTATAATTTCTTGTAAATAAATAACAATCAAAGATTTTTGTGTTTGCTTTGATTATTGTTCGAGTAATTTTCCACTTAATTTAGTACTAACTAGCGGCTGAAGTGAATACAATAAAGTTGATGGTATTCAGAAATTTTCTGGTCAGAGGTAAGAAATTTTTTGATTACCAGAATCATTCACTCTCAAATCAAATGATATTTTAACAAAGTTTCAGTGCAAGAAATGGTACTAGTAAGATGAGAATTAACCTTAAACTACCTTAATAAAACCTCAAGTTTATCACCTCGAACGTACAGATCGTCATCTGCTCGCATGAACCACGCGAAATCATTCAACTACAATTTTGAGGTTTCTCATTTAAAGCAATTATAAAATTTTTAATTTTCAGTTTTAAGCAAATTATTGAAATGTTTCTTAAATATTTAAAGCTGTTAATTGATAAAACACCGTTATTAATAAAATTTGGTTACATGCAAAATTACATACATCTCACAATAATTTATAATTTTAATTAATTAATCGGTTTACGATGCCGAATTTCGCTTTCATCTCACAGTAAATTTGTTGACAAATCATAAAGTAACGTTTTAATTTTGTACCCAAATTAGTAATATTAGATTGAATTCCCTTTCTAGTCTTGTTTACCAATTAACTTTATTATTACATTGAGACAGTTTTGAAAATAAGGTTAATTAATTGTTCAAATTAAATTCAATTATCACTTTTCATTAGTAAAGAAACAGTGATTTTGTTCAACTGTATAAAATGGAATTTGACCTCAGTTCAGCATTTGAATGCCCCGCTTGCCTGATAATACTGAAGAGAAAATCTTAACAAAGAAAAGGAAAGAAATTGCTTAGGAACCAAAAATGAGACTGGAATGTTTCTGGTTTAAAAATTTTGACCAAACAGTAATTTCAATTGTGGTAAATTGCGTCTTATTGTAAGCATAATGTGACATACGCCAAAAATTACTGTTTTAAAACAAAAATAATATTAATGAAAAGCATAACTAAAGCATAACCGTGGTAGTGGTGATAACAAGAGGTGTAACAATAGCTATTAGTATTCAAAATTGGTTTATAATTTTAATAATTATCTATTGAGTATTTCATTTGTATGAATTTTTTTCGCTTGTATAAATTTTCTTGCATATTAAACTTTCACTTAATTCAACCGATTTGTTAGTCAATCAAAAAAGTTGGCCATTGGATTAATTAAGCTTTGAAAAAATGAGCAAGCAAATGTTAGTCAATAATGAGAGACGAAGAAATTTTGCGTGGCAACTTTAATTTGGATAAAAATATGCATAAATTATTATGATTACTGAGTTTCAAAAATGATACTACACTTTTCAAGAATTAAATGTAAATTTTTGAAAATTCCCATATGATTGAAAAAAATTGAACTTCAAATTCAAAATTAGGCGCATATCAGTAATACTAATATATGTGACACACATTGACTGTGCATGAAAAGTATAAATTAGCATAATAATAAAAAAGAGTAATAAAGATGGAGTGAGTGAAGAAGTTGAGATTAACTCACATGATTATCGGCCATCCATTTGAGCATAACAAATGACTTCTTCTGAGGTGGGTATACATCTGAGACACCTTTTAGTGGAATTAGTGGCATGTCCGAATGAACACTTACTGTTCCGTCGGCTACGAAAAATAGTAGCTAAATTTCCAAAACTTTGAAACATTTTTGCTACTTTTTATGAATTTAATCAAAAATTCATTCTTAAGTTATTTCTTTTCCAAAACTTAAAAAGTGTGAAAAATTCCGTCTTTGAATAGCAAATTTAATAAATTTGAACCTCGCCAGGTATAAGTTTAGCCCAAGTTCTCCACACTTCATATGCTCGAGTGTCGACGTACTTCGCTGCTGTCATCACACCAACAAGTAATAATCGTGGCTCCTTATTCTATAACTCCAAAACAGTCAGCAGTAATAATAATTATGATTATTGTATCTCATTACAGTATTAAGTATTATCATTATTACAATATTAAGTATTCTCATTATGTATTTTATATTTTCAATCTTTGCTAATAAAAATCTCTGAGTTTTATACAAAACTAAAGAATAACATTAATGCATTCCAACTTGACAGTTATCTTCGTTCACTAGTTTTCTTTAATGCAGTAATAACTCTATTTTTAGTATTTCGATTTGCTTTCCAATAATTATATGATAAATATGATAAAATCATCTACTTAATCGTCAAAAATTCGGTGAATCTGAGTTAGTGATCATTTCATGAAAAATTTTTAAAGCTATGAAAAAAAGAGTATATTAAAAAAACGCATTGGAGTGATTCTGTGCTTTTATTCATTAATTTATTTTTTATTAAAAGTAAATTTGATTATTACTAGTACCAAAATTATAGTTTCAAAAAGTTTTCAAAAAATTTAAAAAAGACTTATTAGATGAATGAGTGTATAAATAATGTAATGAAAGTATTACCTAAAGGAAATGAGTAATATATACAAACCTGTTTCACGACTTCACTCTCGGGTAAGAATCTCACAGCGGTAAGAATCAATGTCGCAGACATGCCAACAATCATACCTATCAAAGTAGGATAAACAGATCGCGTCATTCGTCGCAAACGTCCCTTACTTTTATGCCATGCTAATCTCATTGTGATTACCAAAAAAACTGTCTCTTTTGATTTTATTACAACCTGAAATCTGGTCAGCTAAACAATTCACCTCCTAAGAACATTTAAAAAAATCATTATTTCTCATGCATGATCAAAATCATTATTATTTTTTCAGTGTAATTAAAATCTGCCAGCAAATTAAAATGATGTTTTTTTCCCATTGAATATTTCAAATACCTTTTTAGTTAAATCAAAAAGTAGCAAACTACTTTTTAAACCTAATAATCAGATGATATCATTTAACCAAATTTTTTAATATTAAAATTCACCCAAAATGAAAAAATAGATTAAAAATCACAACATTGGTCAGAATTTTTTATATTCAACCCAATTTTTTAACAAAAATTAAAGATTACTTCGCAAATTGCTAATGACATTAATTTAAACTACTAGAAATGTATTATAGAAAGTCAGTTAGAAAATGTGACATCCAACTACTGAACTATTACTATACTAATTGCTTTGTTTCAGTTAAAATAAGAAAATACTTATGACAATTTGTCATTTCTACCTGATGACCATATTGTATTATTAGTAAATATCTACGAGCACTCTCAACATCAATAAATTACCTTTACTCACTACATTACTACAATATCTATCTTATTAATAATGCGTTCAATGTACGCATGCCTTTAGTGTAGTTCATTCTTTCTTCTTGAAGATGCAAAACAAATATGTCACTTTATTTGGAATAATGAAAAATTACAAAAATAGACCAAAATTTGAATGAGAAACTTTCAGTCTCGAATTCACGTGCTAGACAAAAATAGTACTTTTTCAGTTTTTCAAATCATAACCAAATGAATATGACTTTTTCAGTATTGTGGATTGAAATAGTGTAAAAATCATTTCAGTACAAAAGCATTTGACCACAAAACCATTAATTTTTTAAAAATTTCATTAGTTTTACTGATGAATTCAATGTTTTTTTCAATTTTCTTCGAATTTTAATTATCAAAACGATTAATAATAAAAACTGCTACAAATTAGTTGTACAGTTTTATGCATAAGTAGTGACTGCTATTTACAATATTTACTTAAAAATTATGGAAAAAATACGCAGCGAATTAAAATGCTTTTCAATTGAACCTTGCACCACATTACTGTCGGGAATTAAAGTGATACATCAAAATATAAAACCTGATCGGTACTAAAATTGAAATTGGTCAGTTAATAGTAGAAATAACTTTTGTTATGTACACATTCCAAATAAGTGAGAATTAAAGCGAATGTTTTAAACTTGCCATTCATCAGGAAATCAAAAGTACGACTGATTATTAATTTGTTGATAAAGTATTGCGTATAACTCATTACAGTGATTATGCCAATCATTTGAAGTCATCTTTGCATTTACAGTCCTCAGTTGTACATGTATATTCATTTGGGACAACAAATATTTCCTTTCGGTTACCTATAAATTGATTAAAATTTCCCTCAAGGTAACCTTTTACAAAGGTCATCAGAAATCTATCATTGATAACTCAAAAGTTAACAACTGAAAATACGCAGAAACAAATAGATATAACAGGAATTATATATATATATATATATATATTTCAAGGATATATTTTCAAGGTAACATCATATCATTATCAACATCACCCTAAATTACGTGCAGTGCTATAATTATGTTGTTTATAATACTTTTATATAAAATTAGAAATCATACAAAAATTGGATCACTAATCAAAATGAATTACTTTACTACTCACTGCAAATACCCAAAGAACAGTGAGTAAAATCTGTGTTCAAAAGTTTAATACTACAAAATTAATTTTTAAACTTGTCAAGCTTTATTCAATTTTTTTGCTTTTTTTCCAAAAAGAATTACAAATAGTCGAAATAAAAAGTAAATTATATATGTGTGTAAGCACTAAAACTTTTGTGAATTAAAACTTTTTAACATTTGCAAAAAGCAAAGTAACGCTCAGAGCAAAAAGTAAAGTGTAAGTAAAAAAGAATGCAATAAAACATAATTAAAAATAAAAAGTTATGACTTCAGAGTGCAATTAGCGAGAAGGAAGAAGAAAGGTAGAAGAAAGAGGGTAAAGCTGTGCAGGGAGTGGATCAGCTCGCATAGATAGCAGTGAGCAAATGAAGAGCGGCTTAAATTGAGAAGAAGCATTTTGTTGCTGCAACACACATAGTTAGCAAATTAGATTCGGACATCTGTTTCCATTTCGCTCTTCAAAATTTTTCAAAAATTTATTTCTTTCGTTTTCCCGCAATAATTTTTTTTTTGCTCTGAATTTTGATTATTTGCTGTCTTACATAAGAATCTTTGCTTTTTTCACTCATTTAATGCTAAAATGCAATTAAGCAGATGAAAGATTCCAAAATTTGAGACTTTTTGCAAAGAAAAGAAGAAAATTGTTATTAAGAACAAAGTGTAGAAGAAAAAAGTAATTAGTAAAAAAATCAAAAATTACTTTTGCAACATTTATTTGCATTGATTTGCTCGTTTAAATGAAATTTAGGTGATTGAGAAGGTGGTAGAAGGATATCCTCAGGTGGAAGACAGAGGTCGAGAAGATCGAGAAATCACTCTAAGCCAGCATCTCATATGAAGAAGTCATATACTCATTCATACTTACATATATTCATTCACAAATATGTATGCACACATACACACACACACACACAGACATATACATACAAACATTCATTACAACATCAGCCTTAATTAAACATTCAGCAACTGCGCCAGCACAAATTTGCAACTGCAAAACATTTTGCATCAAATCTGAATTACACTCAATATTGCACTAATATTTTATTATTAAATTTATTAGAGAGTCTCTTTTTTTCCAAATGTTAATGACTGATTTAAGGACTTTTGCAGTGATAAATCAGATTTCAATTACAAAGTCAAAATAATAATGAATAATAATTATATTAATATCAATAAAAATTATTATTGTTTATCATATTTATCAATTTCACTTACCTTTGATTTAATGCCTTTAATTAACTAAACTATTAATAGTAATAGTAATATTACTATCACCATCACTACTACTACTACTATTATTATTATTATTATTACTAATAATAATAATCATAATCATAATAATAGTTAATTAATTAAAAAGGAAGAAAACGCAGAAAGCAGTTATCTTTCTTCAAATATACTTAGAAGAAAGCTCTGAGGAAAGAAATGAGTAATGAATTGGTTTAGGGTAGAATTTACCTCAGAACTTTTTTGATTTCAAGGACACTTTGATGACACCAAATTACCACAATCATATTTCAAAAATTGCATTACATTACGTAAAAAATTAGATAATAGACATTAGAGATGAAAATTTATATCACTAAATTATTGAGTGTAAAAGATCATTTATCAACTCCAATTTAAATTTTGAAGAGCAGAGAAGGAGTTAATTTCTGAACAAATCTTTGCTATTAAAATAAGTATAATTTCCGAATGTCTATTAGATAGTATCCAAATTATATCGTTTATAAAATCATTGCGGTGAATTATTTTGAGCGATTTCTTGCACACAAAGCTTGTACATATTCGCTACTTATCGCAAATTATCGCATAATAGTGCTGGGATTGAGATACTTAAATAACAAAAAAATTATATTTGTATTAATTTTTGGAAAAATTCAAAAAATTTTTGCTTTATGATTGATCATTCAGTTTTATTAGAATATTCTCCTGTATTTGTGACAAATCACCAGCTTTTTCTTTTTGAAAAAACTTGACAGTTCACTAAAGATGGATAATCACTATTTTAGAAATTATTTCCAAAGTTTCTCAAATTATTTCGAAAAATTTTTTCGTATTTTGACGTATTAAAGCTTCGAAAGTTTTTCAGAATTTGGTCAACGGATTATCGTATTTGATTACGGGAAATGAAATCATATTCAAATGTTTAAGGAAACCGGAAATTGAATGATGTTTAGATTATTTACAAAAGTCAAAAGGACAAAAATTTATTTATAAAAATTTGGGAGCAAAGAAAAGGTCATGAGATATTTGCATGGAATGTATTTTGAATATTCACAAAACGTTTGATTAGAATTTTTTCAGAATTTTGATACATTCAAAGAATTTTGATTCTAAAAGGAAAGCTATTTACAATGCAACATTTATTTTTCATTTTTCCATTCACTTGCAATCACAATAAAATTTTCTTGTAATTTTAATTAGCAATTAGCTAATTATTATTTTGTTTCAAATAATCAAACAAATTATTTTTAAAATAAGCCAAAAATTGCTAATTTTCATTAAATTTATTTTTTTTTCGTTTTTGAACTTTTAAATGAAGAAAAATAGAAAACTTTAACTTTTCATTTTTAAGAACAACTGAAAAATGAAAAATGCCTTGTAAGGAGTTGGTTTGCTGCCGATAAAAACAAAAAACTGTTTAAAGTTTAAATGAAACCAAATGTTGAACTGACAGATGCAAATTGACCTAAATTTAAACTGCACGTCTTGAATATTTTTACGTGGAAAAACTTCAATTCACTTGAGCAATCAAAGGTATAGTGCAAAATTACGTAATTATTTACAGAAATATATTTATAAAAAAAATATGTCTCAAAAGCATTTTCTGAATGTATTTCACGTGAGGTAAGTAAAGTATTTAAGTAGTACTAAACGTAATGATTGAAATGTTTATATTTGGCAGTGTATAATTTTTAAAACTAATTTAAAACTACGAATGAAAGCGAAAAAAGAGAAAATGACAATAAAGGAAATTGTGATTAATGGTATAATTCTTTCATCTCTCATTTATTTTGCAACGAATTGAACTTTTTTCGACGTAAACAAAAAAGACATTTGGATTTTCGATAGTTATTCTCAATTACGTACCAAATTTCAGTTTTTGAAATGCAGAAAACGCCGTTTAATAATATGTCAAACTTATAAAGCTAGTTGAATTAATAACTAAAAACAACTTTACATTATTAGGTAAAATGTATTTTTAATACTACTTACAGTAATGTGTATAATAATCAGTTAGTATAATTTTATAGTTTTAGCTGACGCTAGTGATCGACATCACTTTAATAGTTTATAAATTATGGTTAATAATGGGTTACATGGATAAATTTACAATCAGTTACTTCTAATTTTACGAGTATTATTTACTAAATGTAATTAATGCAATTATTTATTACTTAAAAGTATTAAAGAATTGCTGGAAAAAATTGGTGTAGAAGAGAAATCTTTGTACTAATTTGAATGTTAAAATTTAGAAGGTAATTTTATCGCGCAAACTACTTGTACTCTCTTTTCACCTTTCATTTATTTCTTCTCCCAAAGCATTTGAATGACAGGTTAAAGGTTAGTCACATATAGAAGATAAAGAACAACAGTAGTACTGTTGTTGCCTATAAGATAAATAGCATTGTAGCCAATGGTACTAAAAGGTGACAGAAATGTTGAGTGGGTCAAATGACCTTGAGATTTATTCTTGCAACCCAAAATAATACACCTCTGCATAAATTGGAAGAAATGGTAATGATATACTTATTTTTTAGCTTTTAAATTCATAACTTACATATTCAAACTCTTTTAACCTCAAACTTGGATTGCGAATTTAATTAAAATTAAGCTTGGTTAATATCTTTAGCCAAATTTTAATATTCAAAACCATTAAATTATACTAAGCAGATAAACAAAATTACCTTGGAAAACATTAATTATCCAACTGATCCTGATTAAATCAGTAAATAAACTGTTGTTTTTAGTATAATTACTAAACTAAAATGATGTTTTGACTGAAGTTGCAAATTTATATAAATTTAAGGAAAAAAAAGCATAGTACTCAATCAAAGTTACGGGTGTTCCATCTTTATTTTTATGTTCACATTTGTTAAGTTCTGAAATAAAAACTAGGAAATGAAGTATTTAACAGCAATACTGTGAACTTCCAGTAATTTTGAGATTATTTGCGAGTTACAGAAATAAGTAAGTCTTTAGGTTTATTTATGCTAGCAATTTTGCATTAGCCAAAAATACCGAAGTAGTAAATTAGCTTTTGTTTCTATCTCAGTTTGTTATGTGCCAAACCTACAAATACATACATGTACTACTCACAGTTATCTGTAATATGACTGTTTCAAAATCATACATATCAAAAATTAAAGGAAACTATGTAAAAACAATGAAAAAAGAAAAATAAAAGTTCTTAAAGGTGAAGTGAGATTTATTTTTGCACATTCGATTGAGTTCTGTAAGGCAAGTGGATAATATCTTACATATACTACTAAGTTTATGCTTGCAGTATAGGAACGAATATAAGTTTATTGAATATTCGTTGCTATTTAATTTAGCGAAAAAGTATAAAAACAGTCAAATGGGAGCTTCAGAATGCTCCAATTTTTCTCTGTAATTTCAAAGCTGAATTTATTTGTAAAACAGGCCAGATGTTTTGGGAGAAAATGATAAAAATGAATTATTGATATTTCTGTTTAGCTTTTCTCATAAAAAGATTAGATGAACAAATTGTGAAAGTATTCTCACAAATATATGGCAAATGTGATCCAAAATGAGCGCAGATTTTATGTTAAAAGTTAAATTTCTTCTCTCAATAAACTTAATCATTTCTTTTCAATTAATTCAATTCTGTCTAAAATTTTTAGTGTTTTTGAAGTTTCTTGTAAGTGAAATTTTTAATGCATTTCAAAGTTGAAATCATTAATCATTCAGTAATGAAATATCATTGAAATTCTGAAGATGCGATGGGATCTGCACTGACACTCAGTGATGCATTTCTTAGCACTGAGTTGTAATGAAGTGAGCAATGTTTGCTTTTGCAATAAAATATGAAAAATTAAAACACATTTATTAATGAATAAATGTCTGACATAAAAGTAAAAATTATTATCGCAGTAAAAAAAGGTAATATATTAATAATAGCAGCAGAAGACAATTGAGTGAATAATAAATTATGCATAACGACGGCAAAAAAAAAAGAAAAAATATCGATATTAAGTGCTAGCAAGCTTATTTATCAATTTGATCAGTGCTAACAACAAGCTTGTGGATGCTTTTGCTTAAGCAAATTGTATCGCAAAAACTTTCTCCAAGCTTAAACTTATGACCGAAAGCATATTTTCCTGTTCGTTTCTTCAGGCACTCAACAACTGAATGGATTGCGCCTCCTGGAAAGAGCAATCTGCGTGTTATCCTTAATTATCGCATTTAGCATTGAGTGAAATAAAATCAAATTATAGTAAGCAAATGATATTTTTTAACGCATTGTTTTATGACGTCTTTTTGACGTTTTTTGATAAAAAGAAAATGTTTTTTTCTTTTCATTTTTTGATTTTGAAAATTGAAACTGAGTTGATTCTTCTGCCAGAAATATTATGAAAAAATACGAGCAAAAAAGACTGCTAACTTAACGAGTAATGATTAATTGTACAAATTAATTTAAAGACAACAAAAAATTTTGGGAAGCCAAGAAATTGACTTCGCGCTGTGCAAACATTAGCCTAGAATTTTTCTGACAGTACAAAAGAGTGAACTTTACGGAAAATATTTATGAGTTAAGTCAGTGCTGTTGAATAATTTCAGTGATGCTTTTTAACACTTTATCAATCTTTGCTTCATCAATAGCTAATGCTGACAAAATGCTCATCAATAATTGTTATCATATCATATACTGCAGAATAATAGATAAATTAATATTAATGAATCAAAATATGCTAAAATCAACGAATTTAGTTTCTTCCAATTTGGGATTCACTATGTTTTCACTCAGTCTTTATCAGCTCCAGAGTGATCAACTTCCGATTAAATGTTACAGAAATCGTTTTCTAATTGATAGAGTGAGGCTGTTGTCAATTTATTGTCCTCAGTATTGTTTTCTATCATTTTTAATAAAAATTTTATTAATTTTAAATAGTAAACTAATTTTACTATTTAAAAGTAAAGCACACAAATAGTAACATTTTTAACTGTATAAAAGTAAAAAACCATTTTTTTGATTCGAATGTAAAACAGTTATTTATATTAATTATGCATTTTTAAATTTGATAAATTAATCAAAAAGAATGCAAGAAAATGGCATTTCTCTTTGTTAGAGCAACCAAATAATTTTAAAATTTTGAATTCAGTGCAATGTAATATTTTAAAATGATGAAAATTATGCAACGTATTTATTCATTTAACTGTAAGTTAAAACTTAATTACTTAGTAAACTTTTAACTTTGATAGATAAGCCAACTTTTTTTAATTCTCTTTTTTACTCATTATAAAGATATGAGATAGTTAAAATGAAATTAGTCCTTTAATCGCATTTTTTTTAAAATTAATCTTTGCAATTAACAATGTGATTAAAATATCTGTTGCAATAATCTCTTTAGCGGTTTTTATAATTGCAATCATTTATTAGTTCAAAGAATGACTTTCTATAATATGTATTAATAATTTTTAGCAGTCTAAAATCATCCAAGTCTAGTGGATATGAGAAAAAATACTTCAATGAATGACTGATATCATTTGCCGAGTAAATAAATGACCTTGGCGTTGACTTACTTTACAGAATTTTGACTTCTATCAAAAACTCACATAAATACTTCCAATTTAGAGTGCGTGATAAAAGAAGCCACTTAAGAAGTGTTTCTAAAAAGTACTGCAATTCTTTGCAAAAACTTGTCTTTACATTTATAATAAATCAAAATTTACAGTACTCTTCAAAAATTTTCAAAAATTAACAACTCATACATGCGAATTTTAATTGAGTGAAATTTTTCAAATGAAATAATTGATCCCACAATCAGACATTCAATGAAAATAATTTCCAAACTTTTGAAAATTAATTTTAGATTTGGAAAACAGTTTTTTGTCAGTCTTTGTGTAATGAATAATTTTTTTGAAATAATTTTATATTTGTTTCAATTTCTGATATGATTAAAGCTCATATTTAATTCTACAAATTAAACTTCAAATTTAATTTTGCTAAAAGCAAATGCTTGATTAGCAAAGTTTAATAGTTGTTTAATTATTTACTGAATTTTTAAATTTTTACTGTTTAAATTAACTAACTGCCGAAAGTTCTAGCAAATAAAGTTTTAAATTTTTCAAAAATAATAAAATAAGAATTGAGTTTTTTTTCAAATAAATTACATTTTTTTGTACATAAATCATTAATATTTACACATATAATAAATATCTCTTAAATTTTTGTATTCGAGCGAATTATTTGAAATATGCAATCGAAGTTATTTTAGGTATGTCATGAAAAATCTCTTTTGAAAGCTGTATTGTACAAAAAGGAACTTTTTTCAAAATGTAATTTATTATTATAATATTCAAAATGCAAACTTTTAGCAGTGAATAGTTGTTGATGGATAAGTCAGCAAAGCAGAATTTGATACATTCTGAAAGAGATAAAGTGGAGCAGAATTATGCAAAAATGTTGGAATTCAAATGTTCGGATAACTGATTTGAGTGGGAAGCAATATTTTAAAAAATATGAAATTGTTTATCAAAAAAACAAGTCTGAAAATAATTATTCTTTTCGCCGCAAGAAAAAACATTGAATAGGTAAAGTGAAAATTAGTTATCGAATCAATTATTAATTTTTGAAAAAATTTGTGCGGTACTTTTAATTGCAAAAAGCTTAGATAAATTCATTTTTAATAGATATTTAAGCATTCTCTCAACTATGACGAATTTTATTGTTTTTGTCGGAAGTTTGTTGGAATGCTTTCTAATCAGACCAATTTTTGATTATTATTTTATCAGCTTAAAATATTTTAATTACATCAGTTTACTTTTGTGCTTTATTTTCGTCAATTTTTGAAGCAAAAAGTAATTTTGTATTATTGCAAAAAATTTTAGTTTCCGTTCATAAAAAAAGGCAAGAAGCAATGAACGCACAGAGTGATAATTTTTTGCTTATCACTTCGATTATTATCACTCATATCATTGATCACTATCACCTAATTTTTATTCTTTGCTGATAAATGAATCACTTCTCAAAACGAAACAAAAAGAGTATAACCAACTACTGATGAAAGTTGTCAATAATATATTATGACCATTATGATTTTGTGACCATTGTGATCTCACTCGTTTACTTCTTTGAATTATAATTAAAAAATTGCCTATATGTATATATGTGATTAATAAAACTTTGAAAAATATTGCAGAAAAAATGAATGACAATACTCTGCACACAGTACCTGAAGAAAGTGAGAAAAATTCAGCAAATCGAACCGATATTTGTACAGTAATTCGAAATGGTTTACTGGAAATTATGATTGATGGCAAGCAGCAGCAAATTCTTTCAGCAGTGAACACAAAAATCCGAATTAAAGCTGAATTTAGAGGTGAAAAGTTTTGCTTTGAAATGTTTCGACCAATATTATTTGATGAACTTCAAGCTCATCTGCATTCACGATGTAATCAGAAATTAAGTATCTATTACACGCAACGGAATTATGAATTAATTGCACCTATACGCAATCAACTTGAATTGGATCACGCTGTTGAATTACTTGATTTGGCAAATACATCAAATCATAGAAGCTTACGAATATTACTATCTCGTCATCAAGCAGAAACATGGCTACCACAATCTCTTGGATATTCACAAATTCCCGATGCATCAGGAACATTCTCAGTGCGATCATCAAAAATTATTGAAGTTGAATTTTATTAGTTTGATTTGACAAAAAGATAACATTAGCATATTATATTTAAAGTACAATTTATACCATTTGCTTTTCTGCATATATCAGCAAATCAAATAAAAATCTGAATATTTATATAAACAGAAATGTATATATACGCTTGAAACACTTTTTGAATAAAGTAATTCAGTGATTAAAAATTTTCAAGACTACTTCACTTTAAAATACTTTTGGGAGAGTGCAAAACATTTTGATTAAGTAAAACAGTGGAATTTAGAATTTCCAGAAATTCTCGTAATTCAATTCTCTATTCGACGTAGTCTGCAAGAGAAGCACCTGCAAGTGCACGCGTTTAATTTCTGATTTTTTGTTGCAAGTGCAAATAATTAAAAGTATCCAAAAGTTATTTCTGAAAAAGGAGTTGAAAGAGAACAAACAAATGTGAGCGATAAGCAAGCGAATTTTAGTGTAATACAGCTGATTAGATAATAACTTTATGCATTAACAGCATGAAAAATTAAAATTTTGCGTGCAAAATTTGCATTGATCTGTTCTGATCAAGCTAAGTTGAACACGGCATGGGTAAGTTGCAGTTACCGTACAAAGATTGCCGCTCATCATGCACCAGTACAAGCACAGGTACAGTAAGTAGTTCATGGCAAAATACAAGCAGTGTAAGCAGTGGTGTGATACTTACTGATTTCGATGAACATTCTGTAGTCGGTATAAGTACGCCACGGCCACCTACAAATTGGAAACAAGGCAAATGCATTGGTTCTGGTACCTTTGGTAAAGTTTATTTGTGTGTTGACGTGGATACTGGTAAAGAATTAGCTCTGAAGAGGTTAGCATAAATTGTGAATTCATACAACAAAGCAATTGCGCTAATATATACTTTGCAACACTTTTTATAATAACATAATTTCTTGATAAATGTTATACAATAGCATCAATTACAATTTTGCAAATAATGATATTTTTGTGAGACTAATTTTGTTTGGTTGAAAAATTAGCACAGTTTGATTCTTTGATTAATGTACCAAAAGCAATTAATTTTTACTGCTTGAAATTCCTGATTATTAAAGACTTGCAGTCGCAAGAAAAAAGAAAAATAGCAAATAGCTAATATTACTTTTTTTTGCTACATATTCCACAAGGCAATGTATATTAAAATGAAAACATTACATTACCATACAAACAATAATTTCAGCAATTTAAAATTTTGCTATTAAAATTGTATTTCATTTTCAAAGCTACAAAACTGCCATAATTTTTATTAAACTGTGAGCACTGCAGTTTGAAGAACAAAGATGATATTTCAGGTTGCAGTTGTTCTTCCTTTCTTTAAATCAAAATCATTTAGATCAATTTTTTTTAAGTCATAGTTTTTGAAACATTTTGTGCAGCGAAGTTGTGCGTAAGTGCTTTGCTGAATTTCAGATTCGAGATTTGTTATGGTCATAAGCATTTACAGAATCACATAATTCAGTTGGAAAACGAAATAAATTTGCTTAGTACCATACAACATTACCGGATAGTTCAATATTTTGGCGCACAACAAATCAAAGATGCAATTTGCATATTCATGGAGTTCATGACCGGTGGATCAGTAAAAGACTGCATTTCTGTTTATGGACCATTAAGCAGTACAGTTGCTCGAAAATATACCTATCAAGTATTACAAGGTTTGCAGTATTTGCATGACAACGAAATTATTCATCGAGATATCAAACCAGCCAACATCTTAAGAGATTCCAATGGCAATGTTAAAATTGGCGATTTTGGCTCAGCTAAACGATTACAAGCAATCTGCAGTCAACAAGGTTTCCACTTGACAAACTGATAAAATATTTACTTGAAAACTCTGTTCGTGCGAAGTTTTTACTTTGTTTGATGAGCCAAAGTTGAAATCTCATAAATAACCCAACAACAAGTAATACTTCACATTCATTTCATTGTTTCAACATTTTATTATTTGACTAAAATTCTATTTTTTCCCAGAAGAAACCAGCACACCTCTTATTTCTTTCTTTTTGAAATTCAAGAGAAAGTCGACACTTTTCAGCAGAAAGAACTTTATTTATTGCCTACTAAAATATCACGAAGTTTGTTCGCCTACAATAAAGCTATTCCAACTTAGCAAATTCTGAAGTATTGGTTAAGTTCAAGATTGCACGTCTACAGACTGCACGCAATGACAAGAAAGAAAGTTCATAGGCTGCAGTAGTAAACAGAACTAAAAATTATTCCGAAATTTTCTTCTTAAAATTAGAGTATTAGTTTTTTTTTGATTTCTACAGGCAAGAAAATTAGAAAATGAATGGACCTCGCTAAAGCAATATCTCTGACATATATCTATCTCATTCTAACAAATATTTGATAGCATAACTTTTGTTTCCTCATTTTAACTTTAAATTCTGTTATTTTGTAGTTTTCAGCTTCAGCATACATCGGCACACCTAATTATATGGCTCCTGAAGTAGCGCTTGGATGTGCAGGACATGGTCGTAAGGCTGATATTTGGAGTGTTGGTTGTACACTAGTGGAAATGTTAACTGCTAAGCCATTATGGGATCATTTGGAGCCAATGGCTATAATTTTTAATATAGTTCGTAAGAAGCCTACTTATGAACTACCTAACGATACTGACGAGGTTTTAGTCCGATTTATTGAGATGACACTTGAACGTGATATAGAAAAACGCCCGAGTGCTTCATTCTTACTCAGTCATTTAGCATCCATTTCTAACTGTTAACTTCTGTAGTGAATGAATATATAGTTAAAGTTTGCAACACAGAAACTTTAAAAAACACTGTTCTCTTATAAATATAAATAAAAATGCTGCATTTTTCACTGTTTGTAGCAAAAATTTATCTACGAGAACTTAACTTTGCGAATATCTTACTAAGAAGATATGAGAGACTGAGATTTCATTCCTATTAGAAAGATGACTTAAGCACCGCTGGAACAAAGTTTTTTAATATTTATGACAAATCCTACCCATAAATATGCAAATGTTAACGATTATTTCTAGGACGAAACGAAAAATGCAAAGTGAAGTACTTGCAAATAAATTAAATGATTCTTTTACATTTCGTTGAAAATTGGTTACTCATACTTCGAATTCAACCACACAAATGTTTATATGTAGTCTATGAGTAGCGATTTGTAACATACGTTGATTATGTTTGTACTGTTTGTACTAGACTGATTATGTTTATATGTTGTTAGAAATGTTATTAACTTTTATAGCTTTGTTAAATATCAATTTTAACTCTGAACTTGAAAGACTTGATAGTCTCGTATGCAAAAATAATAAAGCTGTAAAAAGCCTGCTTGATTTCGCTGAATTTCTTTAAAATATAGCAAGAGAAAAATAGAAAAATGAGCAGCTTCCATCGTCTACTTTGATTATGCTAAAGTTACTACGACAATCTCTAAGATACAGAGATTTAAAATATATGATCTACACAGACATCATAAATTCAGCGATTTCCAATTCAAAAATTAAACTCTCATGCCGTCAAAGCACCAAAAAATGAAGTGGTGAAACCCCACATGACCTATAAGTGTCATTGGCAATTACTAACCACATCATACTACTAGAACAGTAGACTGGTCTTATGAATGAATATACTAGTCTACTCAAAACTGTTTAGTCATAGATCAAAGTTTCGAAAATTCCAGAAACATTCTAGTTCTAAATCTTTTCCTCACTTCGATTGCTCAAATTCACAAGTATAACACCTCAGGTATGAGAAAAAGTGAAATTTAAAGAACTTAATAACTTTTAGCTTCTCTGTAGAAGTATCTCCAGCCGTTTAAGCCATTACAATCTTTACAAAGATACTTTATTAATTTGAACAAATGAAATTTCGAATAACACATGATTAGACATCCTAGCGAAACATATCGAAAGTGGAAACACGCTATGAATGCATCATTATGTGGAAGTTCTTGCAGCTCTTTGCACTTAACTCCCTTCAGAATTAACAGTCCATACTACTTGATCTCTTGAACTATATGATTTCGCTTTTGACGTAAATGATAATTGAAAAGTAAAACTAACTATAAGAACAACAACAATGCTTTGCAATGCACTTTCGGAATACGAGTAATTATAAACATTTTTATACATGCCTTGTAATTTAGTCCAATTTACAAATATATCTTGACAAGTTTTCGACGACTATGCAACTCATTTTTGCCAGTCCTATTTTATGTCCATTTGATGTAATTAATCCGTAATAAGAATATCTAAGCAATACATAAAACACATACATAAGTCAGCAAGTTTTCTACACCCTTACAATTTCAATTTCAAAGCTACAAGAGCTTTAAATACTTATCAGAAAGGTCAAATCAATATTTTTCCTTCTTTCCTTTTTCTGGAGGCATAAACATGCGCAAATAAGACAACTGCAATGACCGTTCTAAGTCAGCAAGCTGAGCTACTGCTCCAGATAATTGCACTGCATGTCCCTCATAAAGAGGACCTAAAAATATCGCAACCAAAAAATTAAATTTTATCAAACCTCACAAGAATGAAAATGGAAATTTGTTTTCATTTTTCTGGGTTCAAATATTTAAATATAAGAAATTATAGATAGAAGTACCTTGATTAGTTTTCTTTGCTCCGTAAACAACTTTTCCATCAAAATCGTCAACTGGCACAATAAAATCTGTATCAATTTGTTGTATAGTCACTCCTAAATGTTCTTCAATATCTTCCAAAAGCTGAAAATTAATACCCGTTTGTTTGAAAATGAAATGAAGTACAGAAAACTTACTACATGGCAATATAGTTTTTAATACATATTAAACGCAATATAAATCCTGAACATAGCTGAATAGCTGCCTCTTGTATTTTAGAATTAAAATCAAAACAAACTTTCGGTTCGTCATACCAAATTGCACAGCCACGTTGTGTTGTTAACGCTGTGTTAAAACAGTTCATACCACGAGATGAACATTTATGATACCAAACTTTTTCTGGATGAGCTGAAACCAATGAAATTGCCAGTCCCATCCTGAAGTTTATAATCAGTGAAATGATTCAATCAAACAAAATAAATTTATTTACTGATAACGAGTCATAAAATAACATATGGTGGAAAAGATGACTTGTTTTGATTTTAATACATTTAAAGAATCAAAAAATAACAACAAAATGCCATAAAAAATGGGCATGATCAAATGATCAGCGAAATTTATAAAATATACCTTTCAGCTCGACCTACACGACCAATACGATGAAGATAGTTGGCTTTCTCATCTGGCAGTGTCACATTGATAACTGGAAAACAACATGATGATATACTAAACTTGAAAAACGAAAACAACTTGGAAAGATTCTCTTATACATTCTTGAATAACATTGAACACAACACTAGCCACGAATCAAAATTGCTTATAATAGTATTTGTATAATGCAAATTTTTGTATTACAAGCTAACACAAACATTTGCATAATACAAATTTTGCTATACACAATTTTCCAATGCATCAATGAAAGAGAATGGTTGAGAAAAACAAACCGAACGGTATGCCTTTTACATCAATACCACGTGCTGCAACATCAGTACAAATAAGGAATTTCACTTTTCCTTTCTGAAATTAATCTAATTTAACCATGGCCTTCAAAAAATGTTTCACAATAAATCAATATTCTTATATAAACTACCAACCTTAAAAGAATCAAGATTTCGTGTTCGTTCGTCTGGTCGACGATCACCGTGTAAACAAACACAAGTCAAATCTAAATAAAATTAATTTGTTGCACCGGTAATACACTGCAAATTAAATGTTGGATGATATCTTAAACTGAAACAAAATAATCAAAACAGATAGAATTGGGACTAAATATAAAGACTGGAAATAACAACCGAAATATTTTAAGTTTCAACATTTCTAGATAAAATCATTTGTCATTACTAACCTGGCGCTTTAAATTTGAGATATCTTTCAAGATTATCACAGTCAAGCTTCGTACGGCAAAAAATAATGCCTTGATCCATATTGCACTGACGTATAGCCTGGAAGTTTAACACATGTTAAAAACTACAAATCTTCTCTTGCTATAAATTAGGGGGAAAGATACGATTTTTAACAGAAAAGTAAAGATATAAAATGTACTTTTAGTACATATTCTCCCTTCAGAATTTTAGTGCCTTCTGAAAGAGTTTCTGCATAATCACTTCCTGGACGAATTTCATCGTTTGCATGCATTCCATCAGTCTGAAAAAATAGAAAAGTTAGAAATTTAATAGAAACAATTTAACTAAGTTCTGAGTTTAACTTATCAGACCTGTATTCTGTCTTGTGGCCTTAGACGTATCCACATACGATCTGTTTTTGCATCAACTTTGCAAATAACATGATGTACAGTGTCTGGTACAGAGTCCTGTCCTTTTAGATCTACCCACTGCGGAAAATGCATCATACGATCCTGAAAAGTCGAATCACCTTTCATCACAATACCTCATAAAAAAATAAAATGCCAACTGTTGATTTATGGAAGAAGAAAGAAAGTCTAGAATGACAAAAATTAATCTAAATGAATGAAATGCGCAAAAAAAACCCACAGCAAGTTTCTTCACATCAAAATTATGCAAAGTAGCAGAGCAAACAATCATCTGCAGACGTTCTCCCAAAGCTGTCATCTTTGGCAGCGCAGCATGAATACGCTCGATTGTTGGAAGATGATTTTTTGCTGATACTAATGAATCCTGAATATTTTTGCAAACTTTATTATGACTTTATACTGTTTACTTTATCAAATCCTCCAAAAAACTATTTTTTAGCGATAATATATACACTACTCAGAAGCTAAAAAAGAAACACCAGACAGTGTGAGAGCAATAAAAAACGAAACTTACAGCTTCGTCAAGAATGAAAAATCGAACATTTGACAGCAAGATTTTTCCACTTTGAATAAAATCTTCCAATCTTCCTGGTGTGCACGTAATTATATCAATGCCCGCCATGATAATTCTTAATTGTTCTGCCATTGGAATGCTACCTACCACAAGAGCATTTCTAAAAATACAGAACATATCACCATAAATATTCGAGTTTATTACAAAATTATACCCATCTCCTAAAATTTTTTAGCGCCATTCTAAACCTAATTTCTTCACTACAATAGATGAAGACTAATTCTAGAATCAAAGTGATCAAAGAAACCAAGATTTACATGAACATTCCCAAGATCTAGAGGCAGAGCATGCGCAATACCTGTTGAAAATTAAGATTTTAGAGTGAAGATGGACATACTTTCAAAAGAGACAAAATAATCTTAAATTCAAAATTTTAAATCAAATTTTTAATGTGACAACAGCAAGTAGACTTGAGAGAAAATATGCTTGTAGAACGTATTTTCTAAGATTAATTTCTGAAAAAAACCAAAGTGTGTTGAACAATTACCTAATTGTTGGTTCTTTAAGATATTTTCTGAATTTCTCCAGTTGATTGTTAGTCTGTTCTGCTAATTCCTTTGTTGGTTCAATTATAATACAGGCAGGTGCATTTGGTTCTGCAACTTTTTTTGGTCCTTCAGCACTTGGACCATTAGGTGAAGTGACAAGATTTTCTGGAGGAGCTTTACATACTGCTAAATATCCCTGAATATCAACAAAAGTTTTTGTGAACACAGACTATATGTAAATCAAATGTTCGATCAAAACAGAAGTAATCCAGCAGATAGCAAAGAAAATTTAGCTGAGGATCTCTATTAGAAATGTGCAAGTGAATATAAATAGTTCATCACGAGATTACTTTCAACAAGTAGAAAGTTATGTACTTCGGGAAGATGTTTGAAAGCGGACTCGCCAAAATTGAACAGGATTTCAGCATTCTATAACAGCAAAAAATTACAAAACTGGAAGAGTGACAAAGACTCGAAGGCACACAGAGAAAGTTGAGCAAGTTTCGCAAATGACTTTAAAGGAGACCAATCTGGCTCCTCCGTTATAAATTATTTAATAAGCAGAAAAATCAATTAAATATGGAAAATCATGACAATGGTGAAACATATGGAATAAAATGGACAGACACCGAAAAATGAACCTTTAAAACTACAGCCGGATAAAGCGCGGTATTCACCAAAGTTTGTGGTATGTCAAAAGCTTTTCCTAGATATTTACCATTTTTAGAAAAGGCAATAGTTTTATTATCTAAATCCAGCATACAACCAATGATGTCACTGAGAGTGAATGAAGTCCCATAATTATCAAACTGCTTGTTGTAACTTTTCTTTCCAGTACCACCGTAGCCAAAACTATTCTTATCGGTACCTAAAAAATCAAAAGTTTCATGCTTTTCAGCGCTTTCAGAACATTTAGTGAACTATAAAAATTAATGGAACCATTCCGTGCAATTAACATGTGAGATGAAGCGCCACACCTAAATCAAGAGTAGCAAAAGCAGTTGACCATCCCAAACGGCACAATCCATCATCAGTAACTGTTCCCTCATAATAAAATTTTCCTATAAATTAAACATCAATTCACTATACTTTGGAGTCAGCAAAAGTTATTTGTTTATGTTTACCACAGTAAAATAAGCAATAAATCATATTATAAAGAAATTAATATAGTTAAATACCTTTTCCAACAACACCACGATTGCAGCGAGTGCCATTCCAAGCTTTTGGATCACGACTTTGACAGAGTAAACCATTGGAATCAATTGCAAGGCTTTCATCTCTGTCATACGCATTTAAACTCCACCTTCCATCTGCAAACCTTATTTATTTTCTCCTAACTTTTTTGATAGTTTCGAAATAATCCTGGACGTAAATTTACAAAAATGGATAAAACACAAAAGACAAACAGAGAAGTAGAAAATGATTATTTTGGAAAGAAATTTACTTTCCATCTCAAATTGACCTTAACAAATATGACGGCTAATTTTAAAAATGAAAGTTTATATACAGCCGAATAATCGTCGTACAAAAGCGCACCAATGGCACATAAATTGCTTCCTTTAATATGTTATTCTAACAGTAGTTAAAACTATATAGTATCACAAAAAGGTGCTGTATTCAAGAAATTTGCTTGCAATCCTTTTACAAAAATAACTCTAATTTTTTCGCACACAAAAAAATTTTTCCATTGATTAATGCGTCAGCTTATTTCAATGAAAGAGTAATATAGATAAAATTACCAATCCAATTAATTGATTTATGTGTTTTACCCAACATTGAATCACGTAATGATTCCCACACGATTTGCAAAACTGGAAGACAAAATGCACCCGTTTTACCACTTCCGGTTTCTGCTGCCTATAAAAATAAAAGTGGCTATTTCAATCATAAAGTCTAAAAAGTTAGAAAAAAATAAGTAAAATGGACGGAATTAATAGGCGTTAAAAATGACCATAAGAACATCACCACCACCAAGGATAGCAGGAATTCCTTCAGACTGAATATCGGTTGGCAACCTAAAATATTGATAAAACAAATTATAATTTAAGCGAAAATCTTGAAATAACGAAAAATTTTTAATATTCAATAAAGAAATAACAGAAGCCAAAAACGAATATACACAAGACGAGAATGAAAGAAATGGTCACTTCTCATTACATTAAAAATTAAATCGTAAAATTTGATGATGAGCTACTTCTACTTCACAAAATACTCTATTTTAATTTTCCGTTTCTCAAACAAACTGCAACACAGATGACTTTAATTCAGTGAATTTTCAATTACTACTTCGTTCAATCTTTATTTTCTTAGTATTCTTTAGTTATTGACAATTTTCTAATACGAAATGAAACTCAAATATGTTTGAGTCTAATTCAGTAATTTTAAATGTTAGCTTTAAACAGCTAACTCTCTTGTTTGCGCTTTATAAGCACTTTCAACGAATTTGAAAACGGCAAGAATAAAAAATGAAATATTAGTAAGAACATACGTCCACTCCATCTCGTCAACGGCTCTGCCAAGTTCAGGTAACATCCCCAATTCCTCAAAGGCTGTCATCTTGGTATTTACTGAAAATCCAGAGCTTATCAAACATTATCGGTAACTGATAAAAGTTTTTGTAAAGTAAAATGCATCTACATAAAATGCTTACATATGATGTGTGCAGGAACGCATGCGCGTTGTATGAAATTTCTAGTCTCATTGTTTTTTATAAATTTCACAGTACCGTATAATATTGTGAAACGTCTATACAAACTTCCAAGTTCTGATTGTGTTTCGCTCTGTGTTAATTGTGACGTAAGTTTGAAGTGATGTGAGGTAGGCTAGATTAGTTTGTATAGTGCTGCAGTATGTTGCTTGTGGTGATTAAATTAACATTCAGTTATTTGGTTGTAATGGAGTAGATGTTCCACTTTACTAGGCACCACAAAACTGAAACCTAGTCTGAATAGCGAACAATTTGGAGTAGTGTGCTTGACAAGTTTTCACTGAATAAGCATATGTATTTTTGTTTATTAGCGTCATTTCATTTACGTTTCGGTCAGTTTTTACTGAAACAAAATGTTCAGTTCAACGAGAAAAGAGCGTCGAGCGATTTTTCGCTTACGTTGTAAATGAGTGATAAGATTTGTCATTGCGTTTCAGCACAACAACTGTGTGGAATAAATCAATCGGACTGTCTTGTTTTTATGGAAGTATGCAAATTTTTGAGGAAAAGTGCTTTCATAAGTTCACGTTGAAAGTCATTGATTTCTCATGTTCGCTATTCAGTTTTTTTCTCTTGCACTATATATTTCGTAATTTAAGAGTTTTCTTAACTTTCACTAATTTGTAAGTTCTATTAGTTATTGATGCATGTCATTCATATATTAGGCCTCTGTATGTTCATTTTAGTGTTTTCATTCTCTCTTCCCAGAAAGCATACGTGTGGGTTTTGACTGAAGTATTTATTATTCATGTTGTCTGAATCTATGTGTACGTCGAGATTGGATTGAAACGTAGTATTTGGTTTCTTTATTAATATATTTTTCTTGTTTTCAGAGCGTATGTTCATTGACGCCTCAATTGCGACTTCGGCATTGGATTATATCTTCTGAGGATAGCTCCAGCTCGTGACCTCCGATTTAGTGGCAGGAGTGCTGGAGCGAGATTGCACCAGTGGCACTGATTCTGGTGCATCCATATTTTTTTGATGGTCCCTTTTTTGGCAGCAACTTTCCGTGGATGGAAAGTTTGATGCTGCCGTAAGAATTGGAATCTCAGAAATTCATGGACGGAGGGATTCAGCTGGGAATAGGCAAAGCTGGTACAACTGGTCAAGGAAATACCCTAGAAATTGAAGTTCCGCGTTGGAGAACCTGCACGCGGAATTAAAAATAATTTTTATTGATCAGAGAGTTTTATACTTCTCTGAAGTAAACAAGTCGATGAACTTGATGGAGGAAAAGAAGGTCGCTATACTGTAAATATATTTGTGGAAGATTTGACGAATTTCACTGAATGGAATTGAAATGCTGACTCTTGGTCAGTAATAAAAAATCTGAAGATGGATGGATCACACTTGCAATGAAAAGGTGTGAATAGATAGGGGAGGTTTGGAACTGAAATGGGATCAAGTGCAATCAGAAAACAAGAAATAAAGCTGATGGATTACTCAGAAGAAATATTTGGAAGCTGAAGTACAGAAAATCGACGAGAGACTGAAAAAACGAAACATCTACCTCGCGATTTTCGCACGCATTCTGGGATTTTCGATTCTAAGTTCGATTCTATTGTGTTCATGATTGGATTTTTCTAGATGTGCGAACACATTCTTGATTTACGATTCTAGGCGATTTTCGATTCTACATTTTTCTTCTTTTTGGATTGGACATCAATGATATCAATGCAGAGGAAAGTGATATGTCCAGAATTTTGGTGTGTTATTTTTTGAATAATTGTATTGATATTATTCATTAAGTTTCATTTTTGTCATGTTTAACTTTCATTTTTTGTCAGTGTATTGTGTATTGGTGTATATAAAATTTAAATGTATTGTGTATTGGTGTATATAAGATTGAATAAATTCTATAAAAGATCGGTGTTGAAATACAGTTCTCTGTAGGAGGTCAAAATTTTGTCATGAGGTGCAGAAAGTTACAGAAACATGAAGATGAGCTGATGATGGATGCCAGAGGTATCTTAAAGTCTTATCTAGAGAGGGAGCAGTCACGTGGGACATCATATTAGTAGAACCGATGGTATGAATGAAGCGTTGTATATGGGCGAAAACAGTTCTTCGTCGTTGTGATACTTTTAAAGTCAATTCCAAGAGCACTTCCATAGTTTTACTAGCCTTTGCTCATTCCCAACCGGATTCGTCTTATAGATTTCTGAGATTCCAAATTTATGTATACTTGTTCATTGTCAAGGTAAATCATATTTCAACTAATGGCAAGAATAAGTTTTCCATGACTGAAGGAATGCAGTGGAGCTTACTCAAAACGTTTGTTTTCTGAATTAAACTTAAGAATCTCTATATAAAATTATTAGCATTTATTAGCCCCCGAAGGAATTTTGTCTGGTGAAAATTGAATGGTGTGTATAGTGAGTTATATAATTTTTATAAGTAATAGAGATAATCCATTTTAATTGCTCTTGCCAAAGTAAGTTTCTCATTTATTTGGTGGCTTACAATGGCATATGAATTTCTTATACGTATTGCATTTTGTTCAGTGAATGGCTCTTTCAAGTGATCAGATGCAACGTTGAAAGTTTCAATAGAATAGAATGAAATAGAGACAGCAACAATCCATGAATGATTTTAAATTGCAACACTCCCAAAACTACCATTCGCATATGAGACTTACCGAATCTCAGTTAACGAGCATCAAGTATTTATTTTCTAATAAAGTTTTGCAACGATAATTGTTACCAATTAAAAAGTTACGAGAAAAGCACTTAAAATAATATAAACAATAGTGATAAGCCTTATCGTTTACTCATTTATCTTTCAAGGCTTCTCAACGATTCTTCCATCAGTGGATGCGTGCTCACAACTTCAGACAGCATTAGACAACTTGGAAATTTGTCAGAAATCGCCAATTAGCATCATTTGATCAAAAATGTGCACAAATGTAATTATTGTGTAGCAAAAATAGAAAAATATACAAATATGGAAGTGTGATATGAATTTTCTTCATTTCATTTCACAAATCAGTAATTAATTTCTCGTCACCACCAGTTCTTAACCAGTGCATATGGCAGTTTTTGCATAATAAATGATCGTTTAGTGGATAACACCGTTTCTCAGGCTCATCCGTCAACTGCATTCCACAACCCTGTAAACAATAGAGATTCTGTTACATCAAATGCCACATGTTACTTAATACTTAATGAGTGAATCCAAGATTAAAAAAGAACAGTTAGTTAAATATTGATCAGTTATTTATAAATAACAGTCAGCACAAATCATTTTAACCATTTTCTTAAATTCAAACCTAGATCAGAATTAAAGATCTAGGATTAATTAATTAAAATTTAACAAATTTATTTTTTTAGAATTAAAATTTTAATTTAGGAGCAGTTAAATTACTTAGTCGTTATTAATTAAAATTTAATTCTATTTTAATTAGAATTAAATTTTAATTTAATAGCAACTAACTTATTTAGTGAATTGATTGCTATTAAAATTAATTGATCCAAATCGAATGATCTTTTTTACTGTCTCATACCTCGCAAGAATAGCATTCAATATGATAACTTCGATTAAGCGCAACCACACGTATTGTTTCGCCAGATTCCTATAAATTTGAATGCAATTTGTCAACTTTTTTGATCGAATTATAGAAATATTCATGATGAGTAATGCATCAGATTTTAATGAGCAATGTATTCCAACTTATTTTTCAAAATATACAATCCATTATTAAGAGCACTTTTTAATTTTCAAAATAAAAAGTGCTATTATTTTGAATTGAATAAAACGTGAGCATGAGTACGTAAACTAACCTTATTTGGCATAATAGTTTGTCGACAAGCAGAACATTTCGGTGCAAAAAGTTTGTGATAATCATCGCTACAGTAAACGTTGTTTTCTGAATCTACAGCAAATGGTATGCCGTTGAGACAAGTTCTACACACTTTGCAACGAAAACAGCGTGGATGGTAAGATTTCCCAAGTGCTTGTAATACCTCAAAACTCGTCTTTTTATTGTTTTGCATGCAGTATAAAAGAATAAAAATTCATCTAAACAACATACCTTCAGATTTAGCAAAACAAAAAGTTATTTATTTAAAGTTTCCAATTTTTAAAATTTGATCAAAAAAATTGCAGCCACTCCTTTTAATACTCTAATTTTTATTGCTATTTTCATGTTGGAATAACTATTAATTTGAAATCTAATAAAAACAAGCCTAAATAAGCAAAATTTAAAAAATAAGAGTAAATTAATTTTAAAAATAAACGCAATTTATATAAACCATATCAATTATAAAATGTGAGCATGCAGCGCATCGTTGTGAAGTTTCATGAATCCCTCGATAAAGGTAATCCTCTTCGCAATACTTGTTGTTCTGAGTCTGAAAACATGCTGAAATCTTTCAAGCCAATTATTGTTGCTTTTTCATTTGTACGATATTTTAATGCAGTAAATATTTTATACCTTATCATACAACCTTTAATCTTAACAATTAAGAAATATGTTCTCTTTTCTGAAAATTAACTAAATTAAATTATTTGAAAGAAACACATAATTTGAAAAGAAGAAACAATTATTAAACTAGTCATACTTTGTAAAACTTTTTGCCTTTTAGCGTTCTGCCACATATATCACACGTGAAGCAATTTTGGTGGTAAAGCTGGCCAAGTGCGCAAGTTGCATCACTTTCTTCTATTACTGCTTTTTGACATATTTCACATAAACCAATTGGTTTTCTGCTTAAATTTAATTGTTTTTCCAAGTTATTTGTTATTTCATCATACTTTTTACGCTGTGATGAAATTCCAGAATCCGCAGATGCCACTGAATCAACGCTTTTGTTTCTCCACGGTGGAATTACATTAGCTGATGGATTTTTACTTTCAAAAGACGAAATAAATCGTTGATTTGCTGCAACAAACTGATACGTTTAGAATGCTTGTTTTCATGTTGATAAAATTTGTGTGATAGTAAAGAATAACAAAATGCAATATTAATAAACTTAATACTTGTTAAATTTTGATTCCTAGTACTCATTTATGAAACAATTTATCAGTGACCTTAATTTTTTAAGATATATCAAATATTACTTATTGATTGGGTAGGATTAGTGATTTTATTCGCTGAATTACCATTCAGAAATGCCCGATCACTTTGAACTGAATCTTGTCCATAAACATAATTCTATAATTGTAGTCATCGGTGTATATTTATTTATTTATTACAAAACTTTTTCAACAAATTTTGACATGGCATACACTGAAAAACTATGTTCATATATTCAAGTTGCAAATTATTATGCATTTAATGCTATAAGTAGTATTATTGTTAATAACACTTTTAGATTCTATTAAAAATTATTTATTAAAAACTTTTGATTGGCTAAGAGAAGAGAAAGTGACCAACCTGGAGAGGACGAGAAATGGGTGGTCCACTATGATAGTATGTTTTAGCAGGTGGAATTAAAAAACGAAAATCTTTAGTAGTAAATTGCATCGTTTGATGAGTATCTTCCGAAGGGTCTAACGAATTAGCCTATAATACTTCACAAAATTTAATAATTTATTTAGAGATTTTCAAGCAAAATGTTTATTGTCATGTCGTTAAATTTGAGATTTATAGTTAAAATTATAAAACAATTTTTGTATTTTTATCAGTGGATTGTGTCGCAGAAAAGAGGTAGTACCATGCTAGATGCACTGGTTGAAATTGGTGAATGTGACGTTTCTGTATTACTGTAAGCACTTGCTGGACTTAAAGAAGCAGCATTTTCACCACGATTTGATTTCTTTGCATTTATTACGCTGAATATTGTATTATCACCGGATACCGTAGCTACATTAATAGGATGGTACTGTGATGAATTTTCTCTACCATGTAGTGAAAATGATGCTGGTGCCTGCGTGGTTGATGGTTTATCATTTTGGTAATATTTTGCAAACGTATTTCGAGCATAAAGTCGAGATGTATTGGGAGATTGGTGTTGATGATCATACCAGGGATTTAAAGGTCGACTGGCTGATAGCACCTTAAATTTTCCATTAGATACTGTTTTTACATCCAAACTTTAATTCCATTTTAAGTATTATTAAAATAAATAAAACATGAGGAATTAAAAGTTAATTTTTCAAGTTAAACGTTTAAAAAATTAATTTTATCGAAAAATTGATTGAAAGCTTACCTGTTCTTTAAGTTTAATAATTTCATCTTTACTCATATCATTATTAGTATTACTTCGTGCAGGTATCCGAAGTTTATCACTTTTATTCGCAGCATCAGTAACTACATGACTGAATGATGTTCCCGCTTTCGGATTTGTCGTGCCATTTCGTAAATGCTAATAATAAACAATTCAAATTTTTAAAAATTATATATAATATTTTTCAATCGATAAAAAATTAATTCAATTTTACTGATTTTTTATTCAAAAATTTATTTCTGCCATTATGTTTTCTCACTTATTTTTTTTCATTTTTGGTTCAAAAATCAGAACTTTAATTGAATGTAGTCTATCTGTATTTGTCTCTTTTTAGGTAAAAATTTTTCCAGAAAGTGCGCAAATTATTCAAAAAGTTTTAATCTCTTGCAGATTATACATTCTTATCTACTCACTGCTCTTCATTGTGTGACTTCTAATCTACCTTAAATGTTCTCAATGTTAGGATTAGTTGGGTAAAAAAGACGGAAGAATTGAAGTTTTGCTTGAAATAATAAAAATGCTTTGTAAACAATGAATGAAGCATATCTGCCAGTACTGAAATGAATGCAAGAAATTTATCTGAAAAAAAAATTGCCATTTTTGGATAATATTAGTTATTATTTCTCTGAAGGTTTCATCCATTTAATTATGGTACTGGAATGAACTAGAAAACAAATGTAGCTGGAATAAGGAAGAACTGCACAATTATTTTTTAAAATAGCTGCAAAAAAATAATAATAGTAATTTAAACCTTTTGCTTCTCCAAATTGATAAGATGCAATTTTAATTCAAATTCTTTGCTTAGTGTTCGACTGTCTGCGTCACTTACAAGACGTTGTGGTGGTGGTGGCTGACCAAATGTGTCAAGTTCACGCAGGAAGTTACGTGTTTCCAATTCAACGTCAGTCATTTTCTCGTTGAAAGGATATAGAAATCATGAAATTCAAAATATTTGTAATTTCAAAAACGTAATGAATTTAAAATTATTCAAATTAAGAATGAAAATTATTGCAATTAATAATGTGCAAAATAAAGACTAAATTACAAAAGTGACTCAATACTGATAATAGATTGTTTGTAAGCAACAAAATGAAATCAATTTAATTTAGATTTCAAGCGATAATTAAATAGGTTTTGATACATATCACTGAGAAAAAAAGATGCAAAAAAAGGTTTTGAAGGTCATTTGAAAGAATTTAGGCTACAAATAAGAACGTTACTCGTTAACTTTGCGATTCGAAACAAAAGTTGTTTTTGATAAATTTGTTGCAAAACAAATACAAGTAGATGAGTTCACCAGAATGTGTATAAAAACATTCTATACTTCTACTTGCAATTTATGCAGCTTAAACTATTCTGACAATTGTTCATATTCAAAAGTGAACAATTTTGAATTCAAATTTTTTTGATATGGTCTAAGATTTTTGAGCAAGACGTCAACTTATAGAAATAGTATTTTCTTTCAAATTTGATTTTACAATAAAAGAAAAAGCTTTTTTCATATTCTTATCGTCGATAGCATTTGCATTCCTAGCGGTGCTAATGGCGGCATAAAAATGGCAGATTTTCGCTATCTTATCATTATTTGGACGTAATTTATGATGCATTTGTATAAAAAAGCGACTTCTTCGATTTGATTTTGCAAAAACGTTTACAAGAAAGAATATGCAAAATATTATTTCTAACAAAATGTAATAGTTTATGAATAACTTTAAAAAACCCAAATTTTGTTCTATTTATTATCAATTTCTTTTCAATGTTCATTTTTAGATTTTCACCATTGAGACTTCTTCTACTATCACTGCGCACTTTAATTTTACATTTTTAAACTGCGACTGAGTTTATTAATTCATTAAATTGCAATTTTGTTGAGTAGCAAAAAATGAACAAAAAACATTTCCCAAAAATTCGTTCAAGGTCACGCATTAATTACTTTTCAAACAATAATTACAAACTTTTTTATTTGTAATAGATATTGAGAATTAAATTTTAAAAATTTGTTTTAAACATTCGTATAAAAATCATTTTATTATTATAATTTTTAGACTTTGTATGCATTAATTTGAAATAACGATTCTTGATAAATTTTTTGTATTTCATTTTTTGTACTAAAAATTAAAAACATTTCTTTGAATAACTTACAGATAATGAATGATGTTTTTAAATAAATTAGCTTAAAAAACTTAAAAATAAAAGTACTAAATCAAAGAAGTAAGTTCAAAGAACTTTTTCAGTTTAAAAGTAAAAAATAAATGCAAAATGATAAGAAACAAATTTGCTGATAGACAGATATATTAAAAGAAAAAATTGGAATAACAGAAAATAAAACTGAATCATTCTCAAAAATGCTTTTAATAAATGCATTTTTTCTGAACAAATGATGTTTTGAGACAATTTTGTCTACTTTTTCTTCAATAAATATTTGATTTTTAGATAAATTTTATTTTAGAAGATTAAATTTTTTTTCAATATTTACTCATATTTTGCATTTGAAAAAGTTCAAAAGAACTTGAAGAATATGTATTTTTAATAAAAATTAGATAACTAAAATATTAAAAAAGTAAAGTAGAAGAGAAAAAAGCATAATAAGTAATAAAATAAGAAAATAAAAAATAATTAGGGAAATAAATAAGTAGCAATAGGAAAAGTAAACTATTTGTAATTTTGATATCAAACATTTTTCTGCATGAATTATTTTGTCAAAAATAATGCAAAATAGAAATAATACTGAAAAAGTTTTCATTTGAGTTGTCCAGAAAAATTATAAAAGAAGTTTGAAAATCAGATTAAAAAATTCTAGAAATAGAAGTAAAGAAAGTAATAGCAAGGTATGCATAGTAAATAAGGTAAAGTATGTAATTAAGCGAAAAGTAAATATAAGAAAAAATGCAAATAGAATAAATAATTTTAAGCAAGAAAAAGGTAAGTAAGTAGTAGTTATTTTTGGTTGCAATTATGCATATAATTTTACTTCATTATTCTAACTTATAGTGAAAAGATTAACCTTTCAAGTCATTGAAATCAGTTCCAAATATTATAAGGTAAAAGGTTAATCCAGTCTAAGTTAAAACCAAAGTAATAAAAGTGAACTTTCTAGAGTGACATGTGATTAATTAACTTATATAATGCAAAATGGAACAATGTAAATAAGTTTAAGCTTAAGGAAACAATTTTTTTACACAAAATACATAGTCGAAAAATAATTTTTTAATTTATAAACTGCTAACTAATTAACTGCAATTAATCAAATAGTTTACTTAACTGAAATCAATTTTATTTTGAGTGAAATGAGCAACTTCTTTACTTTATTATAAACAAAATAAAATAAAATGTGAGTAAGTCAGAAAGTGAAGGACACTTCACGTCTATTGAATCATTGAATAGTTTCATAAGAAGAATTCATCGAACAGCAAAATCAGGTAAATGCATCAATCCCATTATTATTTAACAAATGCATAAAATGTTGGAATGTGATTTAGCGAAGGGTCAAAGTTTTGTTTGCTTTACTTTCTTCTCCATTAATAGCAAATGAGCATTTTTATTGATAAAACTTCTTTCTGTTTACCCATGCAATTCAAATTTAAACACAAATTCTCATTAATTGTTTAAATTTGAATCCAAATTCTGCACAAAAATCTTTGCAATAAATCGTAATATTTTGACAATATTTTCGTTTAATATAGCTATTTACTTTTTCAAAACATAAATTTTTTTTTAGGCAAAAAATTTCTGATACAAAAATCTCTAATCTGTCTGTGTTTATAGCATTTGAAGCAATTATTACAATACAATCATTGTAAGTTACTCAAATTATTCACAAGTTATCGCTCGTACTTCAATTTGCTTGCCACACTTATATTCAAGCTAAAAACAAGTGCAATTTTCAAAAATTATAATATGCTTCCTTCTTGACATAAATAAAGCATAAAAAGTGTTTTAAGACAAATAAATACTTGTAAAGTTAAGGTTTTTCGTAAACAGATGCTTACTTGAATTTTCTAGCTGAAGCATAATTGTCAATAAATGTCATACGGATATCTCATAAATAGCAACAATTCTACATTTGTCATTTATTTATGTTTATTTAATACAGTCACCACTTGCTAACAACGCTTCTGTTGCAATTTATTCAGCACAGAAAATAATCCCTACATAGCACTTGCTTATTTTACTGTACATTTCTGAACATTCATTACTTGGAAATAATGTAATATAATTTTTTTTGTAAGTTTTAAGCTGAAAATTTTTACTTTTTTTTACTTCTGAAATAAAAATACACATTGTGACAATTTTACAAAACTTTGCATTTAGAAAGTAATCAAATAAAGAACGACAATTATCCTAAATGATCAAAAATTTGAATATTCCATAAATGCATATTAAATGAAAATAATGAATACTACAAATTCTTGAAACAGACTAGACTTCATAACTCTTTTAAAATACAAAATTTTCAAAAAGCTTACCTAAGAACTTTCACTGCTTAACTTTACTTTAAAAGATACCAAGCATACATCTGATTTAGACGAATATTGAACACGCGTTTAATGTTCAAAGTATTAATCTAAACTTTTATTTGATTGTAATTCACATCGTAGCCTCATGAATTCAACTTTGTAAGAATGAGCTTCCTTCAGAAGGATTTGCTTAAAGTTATGAAAATATCAAATCTTAGCTAATCACTGACACAATTGCAGGAGGTGGACATTTTCATGTAATACTGAAGTAATTTGCATAAAGATTAAAAATAAAATCTAAACATTTTATTAAAACATCTCAAAATAAATAATTATCTTAAATTCATAACTGAAATAGAGAAATCGAAAACTGTGTTTGCTTATCATTAATCACATTTATGCAAATAGAACAATGTACTGTCGCTTTACTTCTATGCATATTAAATCACTAATTTCATCTTTACTCGATAGATAGTTATTATAAATTCGATAGGTCCGTGGATCTATTTATAAAAAATTTGATTTTATAGTAAGATAAACAAATATATCGGTGAAATTAACAAATCCATCAACAATCCTGCAATAAAGTGGATAAATGAAATATGATGATGGCCTACCATCGCTACGGAACTCTTAAAATATTTAGATATTAAGTGATTAATAATTACAATGTTGTTGTTTCTGTTCATGTATTAACAAAGTAAAAGTAATGCCAGAGTTGTTAGCTAGCAAGTACATTGAAAAACATATTCTTACTTGAAATGGAATGCTAAATATTGAAAATTTTTATAATAAAAAGTTAAAAAATGCAATAAATTTATTCGACGTGTCAATATACGTAAAAAATTGTTTGAGCAATTTTTTATTTTTATAATATTTTTATCATTTAAAGAATTATGTATTCAAAAATGCTAAATTCTAAGTTTAAACATCAATCATTTCCAAAATTTTTAAGACCATTTCATACTGATATTCAGATTTTTCGCTAAACATAAACTATCCCTGAAAATAGTTTATTTTCGAAAACTAAACCAAACTCTAAATGATATTAGAATTATAAATCGCTTATTTTAAGTATTAGTTTGTACAATTTTGGCTTGCAGAAATGCTTTAAATAGCTAAAAAGCTCTTCAATTTTATGTTCTTCCAGAGATAAAAATTAAATTATTATTAACATTTATGCAATCGAAAAAAAAGACTTTAGAAATCCGTGAAAAATAAAAGTTGGCGTCAGTTCAAAAGTAAATTACTTTGAACAGATACTTTGTTCAATTGTTTCCTGAAAAGAACAGCTGAGAAGTAAAGATTTCAATGCCATTTGCTATGATAATATTTATGGAATATTTTGAAGGAATATTTTTTCAATTTCTTTTATTCCATAATAAAAAGCAATTCATTTTTTGTAGGAATAACAATTTTTGGAAAAGAATAACAAAAAATGCAATAAAATTAG